TACATTTTACGGTGTACATTGTAAAGCACGTGATGAGTATTTAACGCGAAATACCTAAATATATGTCAGATTATCATAATATTATATTGTATGTGTATAGTGACGTGTAGTGTTGATGTTATCATGCTCCGTTTATATATAATATAACATAACGTCGTCATTATATTATTATGTAGGTTAGTCAACAAGTGTTTTTTTCTTCTCGTTAACCACGAGACCTGTAACATAATAGTTCAATATAAATTATCAATTTTTTGCCCCGTTTACACATCATCAACAACACACGCGTCATATATACGGCGCAGTTCATATTATATTTTATACTTACATCCATATAGACATATTTTGTATTATAATATAAAGAGTGATGAACCGTGAGTGTTAGCCGTTTTTCGACGTACCTGCCTTTCGGTACGTCGCTTTCTACATTTTGACGATAAAACCATAATAATAATAATAATAATAATAATTTATATTGCTAAATACTTTACGACGTTTATTGCAAATATTTACCATCGCGTTGCACATTTTACATTTTACTCTAAGCATTTCCATGAAGTATTTATTTGATTAGTTTATAAAATAAAACCATGTTGAAAAAGAATGATAAATATTTAGGTTGGACGAAATGCATCGTCCATCGGAATAACAAAATTCTTTTCAGTATTCCTTCATATCTCAAGTTTTAATTTATAAAATGTGGCATGTGGGTTTACATATTTCAGGTGTTTCGACTTAATGGTAATATAATATTGATATAATTGAGACGTTATTATTAAAAGCAACGGTGGTTATAATTGTCTCAGTTTACAATAATGTGTATGAGCTAATAGCCATAGTTGCCGGACTTAAGATCAATGAAAAAAAAATATTAATGTACCTATAAATTTTATTTATATTACAATATAAAAATATCATCATAAACTACGCAGCTAATTAATATTTATTAACATCGTAATTATCAAATGCATGATAAGAAAATAAAAATATTAACATATACAAAATAATTCTTTAGGTATGTGTCCAAACATAATGTTTGACGTTAAAAAACAAATAAAACATGGACGGTAATCTTGAAAAAAATCCAATAAAAATATCTGTATATGTGGTTGTTTTGTATTTTGATTTTTACTTTTCTTTAAAAATGTTTTCCTGTCCCAGTTCAAAGTAAACCGATACACATAAACTTAATATGATGAAATACTATATTTCTCTCAAATCATAATATTTAAATTCTACGATGCATTAAATTATAAGTTATTTATAAAATAGTATTCGGTTTTCAATGGTTAGGAATTGACCAAACTCTTCTATATAATACTTCAAATTCTTTTTTATATTTCGAACAATGCAAATGCAAGTACTGTAGCTACTATTGTTTTTAAAATAATTTTTTGTGGGCATTGAAACGATATGGACATATATAAGTTCTAGATATTTATAACGACAAAAAAATCATGTGAAAATAACATGCAATATGGGTCACAGGTCTTCGAAAGAAAAATTCTAAGAAAGATTTTTGGACCATGCAATGATGATCTATCCGGATATTGTGGGTAAAGTCACAATCAACAACTCCAGGACGTTTTCCAAAGTCCTAATATCATAAAGGAAATCAATGTTAAGATACTGAAATGGGCAGGACTTGCTTGGAGAAAACAGGGATCAATAATAGGGACCGCAATCAAAAATAACCTGACTGGAAAACCCCATTTAAGATGAGAGGACTGTACAAAGTTGGAGCGATGGAACTTGGAATTCGACGGAAAGTAGTAGCGGATGGCATAAGTGGATGAAGGGATATGTGCTTGAAGAGCTGACCTTGAGACATTGCCCCCCCCCCCCAAAAGTAACACAATAGAATATTAATTATTATCATTGCGATGTTCATCAAATAACTATTTTTGTTTTCCATTAACATTTGTGATATAATATTGTTCTGTAGACTAAATATCATATTTTAATTTTTAACACTATTATTTTGAATTGGCGTAATAATACTATTCTATTAAGGTGGTTAAAATATTGAGAAATACGGATAAATAACACCGGTGTACCCGAATTGTCTATCCATAACGCCGTGTGATCATAATTACATATTACCGTACTTTATCAGCGAGAAGTACGAGTAGTACGACTACAGCGGTCATTGGTAAGTTAAAGACGTCCTACTCGTATTTGTTGTCTCCGTTGTAGCAAGTTTACATCCAACGGTACTCGATCGAACCTAGTAATAAACGATTTTAAGGTAAGAACTTCATAAAGATTATGATAGAACTACAACTATAACTAACCACCTAACTAACTGTTTGTACAATAATAATAATTAATTGTTTTTATTGAATACAATATTCAACTATCAATATTATCTGAATTGTGCCTACAAACAAAATTAATTTAATTACATTCAACACCATTTTATTCGTGCTCAATAAAGCTTTGATTTTTATTTAAAACGAGGGTAAAGAAAAAAAATCGTAAAATTATACATATGAAATAATCAATAATAATTAAAAATGCGATATTTTATTTTGCTAAAAATATTGCTAATTTATGTTTAAAGTCGTGATTTAATATTATAAGTACGGTATTAATAATATTATTTTGAAAATAAATTCTATTTTTTAATGCCGCACTTATCACAATAATAATATATAAATATATGCGGCGCCTGATTTTTTTTCTCTAGCGAACAAAATATGATATTATATCCTCAGTAGTAATCCGCACTACTTGAAAAAGTTCAGGCACACGAAACCACTACAATAAAACATATCATTTGTATTATATACGAGTAATAAATAAGTGTATTACTATAGGCTTTCGTCAATATATAAGATAATATACATATATTGGTCGACAACTCTGTGAATATTTGAGTTTTTTTTTTGTGTTCAAGTTGGAAAGTTTCCAACAAAGACACCGAGACGTACTTTTATTATGTGTCAAGATCATCAGTCCTGTTCCGGTTAATCGTGAAGAATAATATTGCTAATTTAATCGTTATTTTAACGTTACGCACTGGATACGTTTATTTTTTTTTCTCCGCGCCATACTACTACGCGTGTTATTACACTTTCGTGCTAAATTAACGGTTATTGGCCTTTTCGGCTACTGTGGGTTCCACCTCTCCCCCGCACGCACATGGCATTTGACGTACCGTGACGGTTATAATATATTAAGCTTAAATTTTTAATATCCATCTAAGTTACGTGTGGAGGCATTTGTGTTTAGTATTTCGATGGTACGAGCGATCGGCGATTTTACGTACCAACACACGCACTCGGTTCGACGAGACCGATGTATTAATATTATTACGACGACTAAAACGAGTTAAAATATTGTACCTCAAGTCATAGGGTGACACGCGCACTCGGTTCGAGGAGAGGCCACCGATACAATATTATTACGGCGGCGAGGTAAAATGTTTCGAAGTCATTGGGTAACGAGAGAATAATTTCAACTGACAGTTATTACGGATATAGTTATCACGCGATGCCGACACGGGCCGATTAAAAGGAAAAAAAACCGACAAGAGTACCATTATATGATACTTTGTGATTCGGTTAATAATAATATTATTATTGGCAAGAGAATTTACTCACGCGTATACGTTTTGAACACACTCCGCAAACAATATATTATCAAGGATATTTTATATTATCTATATGATATTATTGCATTAATATTTTTTCACCACATTCGTCCACCGCATTTATATGAGTACGTCATAATAATATATTGATCGTGAACTGAATATGTTGTACTCGTATATGTGTTACGAACCTTCGACCAATACAAATCGATACAATGGCCGGAACTAGAAATAATAAGTCCGAGGCCCTGTTAGGGATTCAGTCAAATACATTATAGGTACTACAGGTATCCATTGTACATTACAACTCAAAATCATACACCACTATATTACAATATTTAAATATTATACTCACTATTATTGAAGTCTTAACCAATTAAGTCTTAACATTCTCGGAGAGCGACCGTAACACTGCTATAGCATTGTTTCTTATCAACTGTATTATAATAAATACATATTGTGTTTTACCGGTTGATGTGGTGTTGAGAAATAAATATCAATTTGATTATACATCACAACTTAAGAGTTTACACCACAATGGAATATTATGTACGCTCAGTATATTCTCAACCCTATGCACATTTCCAGTGAGCGGTCGTTGTACTACGTATTGTTTCTCATAAACCGTATCAGAGAAACATCTGTATAAACCGTAATATTGTGTCTGTTTCAAAGTTTAATTCAATAAAAATAACGGTTTCCTATGACGTTCATTTCATCTCTTTGCACGTCGACGAGGATGACCAAACCACAAGCACCATCTGCAGCTGCGGCGTGTACCCGATTTTACCTACTGACGTATTGTAGCGAAACAAATGTGTAGTTGATTGTACATCAAAACTTTGAAGCGTACGCAACAATATACAATTATATATACTCACTATCATAGTCTTAATCCGCATTCCATGTGAGCGGTCGTTGTACGACGCATTGTTTCTTATCGACCGTATTGTTATAGATACATCTATATGAACCACAATATTTGTTTTAAAGTCTAACTCGATAAAAGTAACAGTTTCCTCTGACGTGCACCTCGTTTCATTTCTCCGGATGTCGACGAAAATGACCAATCGACCATCAGCAACGTGTTCTTAATTTTATCCGCTGACGTGGTGTAGCGAAACAAATATGAACTTGATTATACATTAAAACTTAGAAGCGTTTAAAATGTAATTCAATACAAATAATATGGTTTCCTATGACATGCATATTCCATCTCTTCGGAGGCCAAATATGATGACCGATCGACACCCGCCATTGGCAATGTGTTCTTGATTTTACCGCTGATGTGGCTTAACACTAGCTCTAGAAACAGAGACGGAAATGTTCACAGGTATCGGAGTGTATAGTTATATGTAGAGGAACGGGCGAACCGAAGTAAATAAAGAACAAATGCAAACGATTATTATAAGTTAACAATTAGCATATCTTTATTGGAAACATTAAAGAAGCTGAATTGTACAACGGGGTTAAAATTAATTTTAAATTAAAAGAATTTTTGTTGAACAACATAGTTATCATTATGATAATTTGTTTTCATATAAATAAAACATTGTTTTACACACTAATAAATACAGACAGGCCGCATGTGTGTCGCAAAATATGATGTAGATGTATGGTTGATGCTGCTGTTTGGTGTGTACGTGGTGTTTTATGATACATTTCGAAAAATAAAATAAAAATATTGTAGTACATTTTTTTTAAAGTTTTATTACAAATAAGTTAAATTTTGTTTAGAAGTCGCCTTCTGGGTGGAGGTCGAATCTGGGTGGGAAGGCGAATCCGTCGAATTGTGGTTTAACGGGCGGCCTGTGTCCCTATAAAAGAAAAAATACAAAAACACGTTTAAAAAATGTTCCATAATTGCTTCAACGCATGTCATAAATTTAATATCAACACAATATATTATTAATAAAAGTCTAGGTCATGTGTGATGACTTTTATTGTACTGATCGTGCTACATGCATAAAACAAATAAATGAAAACATTCAACTCGCAACTGATAGGAGCTCTTATTTTTCAAATAACGTTAAACTAAAAATCTGATCTATGCTGCTAAATAGGCGTTTTGTTAGGAATTAAAAGTATTTTTTTCACAAACATAGGTATAATATGATTAATAACAATTTGAATTATTTCGTAATCGGAGTATTCAATACTTATGTGATTAGAATTTTAAAATAGTCAAATGCAAGTTAGAATAGGACCGTATCAAGTCATGTTGGTTGCGAGGCTAAAATCGGTGAAAAAATATTCTAACCGAGTACATGACTCGTCAACTACATGCTAGTCTATCCGACTTACAAATAAATAAATAGATAGAATCAAGATTTTACTCCAATGGTAGCACCTTTCGTGGCTTTTGAGGCTGGAATAATAATGATTCTATTAGCTAGCTATATGGATAACGCGCTACAATGTATCGTGCAATTGAGACAATTAGGATGTATTAAATTATTATATTTATAACTGCTCGGAAAGTGATGGATGTCCATCATCCCAATTTTACGATACATCAAACTTTTTTTCTAGTGAACATGTCATCTAAGGTACGTCAATTAAACTAAATGAAATGCATGAACAAATCACCATGTATAAAAATATCATTATAAAATGTACAATAACAGATTTTTAATTATTGAATTCGAGAAACACTTACAATTGGGCTTCCGCCTCGTGCTGTAGATCCTGATCTGCCCTTTGTTCTGAACTTTGCAATTGCTTGTTCAGCTAGATCGGCTCTTTCTTCAGCCTCTTCCAGTTCTTGTTGGGCCTTACGGAACTTAGCCAAGTTGAGTGCGGCAATTTCTTCGGCTTCTTCGATCTGTCTCTTGTATGTCTTGATCTTTTGTTGCAGTTTGTCAACCAAGTCTTGCATACGCTCATGGTTCTTTCTGTCTTCGTCTCCTTGGAAGCTCAACTCCTTAATTCTACGCTCAGATTTTCTTAGGTTCTTTTGCGCATCAGCGTGTCTGCGTTGTTCACCGTCCAACTCATTCTCCAATTCTCGTACCCTTTGTTCGAGTTTCTGAATAGCTTTCTTACCACCTTTCAATGCATTATTTTCAGCTTCATCTAATCTTACCTACAATTATTAAATAAGTATTTAAAATAATGATATTATACTAACAGAATTGTGACAATACATTAAAATCACAAATTATTTAATCATGCGTACTTGTAATTCCTTGATTTGTGTTTCAAGAGCTTTCCTAAGTTTTTCTTGGGTTTGTGCGTGGTCTTGTTCGGCTCTAAGTTCATCAGCAAGTCTGGCAGCGTCTACCATTGCTTTCTTGGCCTTTTCTTCAGAGTTCTTGGCTTCATTCAATAACTCGTCTAAGTCAGACTGTATACAAACAAATACATAATTAAAACACTTTATAAATGGAAAATAATCAATTAATTTAATAATATTACATGTAAGGTTTGTAGTTCTCCTTCCAATTTCCTCTTGGCAGCAGAAATGGAGGTAGCCTGTGCGGAAAGTTCGTTGAGCTGTTCATGAGCATCAGCCAATTCTTGTTCAACTTGTCTCCTGCCACGGTCAGATTGTTCCAATAAGGTTCTGGATTCTTCCAGTTCGTTTTGTAATGCGTTAGCACGTCTTTCGGAAATTCCCAACTGTTCTCTGGCGTCTTCTCTAGCCCTAGATTCTTCTTCAAGAGCAGTTTGCACATCCTTCAATTGTTGTTGATACCGTTTAATATTCTTTTGGGCTTCAGCATTAGCTTTGTTGGCGTGGTCTAAAGCGATTTCAAGTTCATTGATGTCGGCTTCCAACTTCTTCTTCATTCTAAGAGCTTCAGCCTTTCCTTTAGCTTCAGCTTCCAAGCTAGCTTGCATTGAGTCTAAAGCACGTTGGTGGTTTTTCCTAATAAAATAAAAATTATATGAGTTATATAAATTTCAAAACTTTTAAATCTCATTTATACATAATATTATATAATTTCAGTATTGCACTAAATGTTAATTTAAATTTATGAAGATATTTATAATTTCTAGAATCACTTCCTTAGGTTTTTAATATTTTAACGATTTTATGTTACCTGGTGTTTTCGAATTCCTCTTCTTTTTCTTGGATACGTCTGTCAATTTCTTGTCTAACTTGAGACAGTTCCAATTGTGCTCTCAATACTTTGTTTTCTTCCTGTTCTAATGCTGCTTCAGCTTCTTCTAATGCAGCTTGGAGTTCATCCTTCTCAACTTCCAATCGTTTGCGTTGCTTTTCAATTTCATGAATGTTTCTGCCACCTTCACCAATTTGATCAAGAAGGTCCTTGACTTCATCTATTCAAATCAAAATAGTATTAATATTACTCATCTGACATTTAAATAAAAGGTTTAACTTACCAGCTAAATTCTTGTTTTCACGTCTGACTCCTTCCAATTGTTCTTGGGCTTCTTCATAGGCTCCCTTAAGACGGAAAAGTTCAGTGGAATAGTTTCTGCATTCTTTCTGGCTTGCATCTAATTCAGCTGCTAAGTCATCAACCTTGAGTTTCCATTCTCCAATGATCTTGTCAATAGCCTTGGCCTTCTTTTCAGCAGCATTAGCAATTGCTGTCGCTCTGTCGACTTCCAATTGTAAGTCTTCTACTTCAGTTGCCAAACGTTGTTTCGTCTTCTCTAAAGCAACAACCTTTTGGTTGAGTGACTCAATGGTCTCTTCAGCTTCAGCGAGACGAGCTTGCAATTTACGTCTAAGGAATTATAAGTTATGCGATTATTACATAATAGATTCGAAAATATTATAATTTGTCTTCACGGGTTTTAAAAGCACTATATATTATATTTTATTGTTGGTAATGCGAATAGAGTACTTACTTAGCTTCTTCAAGTTCTTCAACTCTGGCAATACCCTCAGATTCATATTTGGTACGCCACAATTGAACTTCAGCATTAGCCTTGCTCAATTGTCTTTGAATATCAGCCTTAGCTTCTGCTTCTTCTTCTAATTGTTCACGGATGTTATCAATATCGTGTTCCAAGTTTCTGAATTTGCCCAAAAGTGTAGCGCGTTCCTAAATAAAATTGAATACGATAATTAATATTATAAGCAAAACTACAATAAGTTTTATATAAAGATATTTACCCTTCCTTCTTCATCAGCCAGTCTCTTAGTATCTTCGAGTTGAGTGGTGAGTGAAATCTTAATCTTAGCCAACTGTGAAACCTGTGATTCGGCTTCTTCTAATTGACGAAGTAAGTCGGAGTTTTCAATGCTCAACTTCTTCTTGGCAGCATCAAAGTCGTTCAATGTGCGGTTGGTTTCATCAAGTTTACCTTGAACTTCGTTCAATTGGTGTTGTACTTGTTTGTAGATCTTTTCGGTCTGGGCCTAATATTATAAATCCGAAATAAATTAGAATCCAATCATACATTATTTAGAACGGAAAATGAACACAAACACGAAACAATTATTTGAACACGTTTTACAAGTATTAGTATATATTGGAACAAGGACACCATCATACATTTACAACGCACACTTTAAGTCTAAGTTATTTTATTGCCACAGAAAACGTATTACTCAACGCGTTTTAACTGGTGTTACTAATTCTATGTTTATAAAATATATTAGTAACTCATGATAAAAACATTGTATTATTTCGACTATTTATAATGTAATATTAAAATATTTGCCTGCTAATAATGACGAATTTTAAGACTTTTATCAACGAAGCTTCTATTATATACATCAAGTTAAGTGCAATGAATAAATATAAAGATTTATTAATGTGAAGCAATTTTTAATATTTTTTCAGTTATTATTCGAATGTTCTTTTTTTGCTAAAGCAGTACATCGTTTGTTTTTTTCAACCAACCTTTTCGTTAGAAATGTGGTCTAAGCTTGCACGTGTGTCATTCAATTCACACAAGAACTGGCATTTATCCTTCTCAGCTCTAATAATCAATACAACATTATTTTTATTTATATTTTAAACTATCGTTGCATTAAAAAAAACATTATATTTATATATAATACATTTATTTCAGATTTTTTATCTTTAAACTGATCAAGTTATGTATTTAATTTCTTCTGTACTATTGATTATTTCATCAAGATCTTAATATAATAATTAAATAATTGATAAAAATGAATTTATTTTAACCGAGGATAAGTTCACATGCTTTCGAAGTTCAAATAAGGATAGAAAATGGTCATGCAACATATATAAACACTGAACCTCAGTTTTTTTTCTACCTTTTCTCTAGATATTAAATCAACAGCAGCTCTAGTGTTGTTTAAGTCGTTGGATAGATAATGTGAATGGTGCTCAGCCCTAATTTGATAAAATACACATTATTTCCAATCGTTCATACAACAATTTACATTTGACGGATAATATATTAATATCAATAAATAAAAAAGTAATATAATAGGTAATTAATAACAAACTTACTTTTCTTAATTACTTTATGGGTAATTTAATTTATTTAATAAATTAGTCTAGTACTTGGAAATTTAATTATTTAAAATTATTATTTCTAACGCAATGTGTAACGACCATATAGTTTGAATAGTTATAGATAAAGTACCTATATATCATTAAACCATATCAGTATGGAATGTATTTTATTCATTCTTGTAACATTTAATTTATTAGATGATATATAATTTTTTTTATCAAATTTATTAAAAATAATACAAATACAAAACTTACTTGGTCTTGAGTTTGTTCAACTGGTCGATTTGGTCACCCATCTCTGAAACAGCATCATTGTGCTTCTTGCGTAAGTTGGCTAAGGTAGCTTCGTGTTGAATGTTAGCTTCCTCCAAATCACGTCGGAGTTTGCTCATCTCAGCTTCACGTTTCTTGTTCAACTCAATTTGAGCGGAAGTAGCACCACCAGCTTCTTCAAGACGTTCACCCAACTCTTCCAATTCACGGGCAAGATCAGCGCGTTGTTTCTCAGCCTATCAATGATATAAATATATATATAGTGGTTAGTAAAAATGTGTAACTTGCATTAAATTGTTAAAGAAAATGGTAAAAGATAAGAATTTAAAAAAAAAAATTGTATTGTATTAGTTGTTACCTTAGCGCGGGCTTGTCTTTCAGCTTCAACCTCTTCTTCGAGTTCTTCGATTCTTGACTGAAATGGGAATTACGATGTTTAATTAAACATTTTAAGTTACAATTAAGTAAAGTACCAAATATCATACTTTTCAAAATATAAAATAATATATATTAAATCACTTACTTGAAGTTCTTTGATTTGTTTTTGTTGTTTGCCAACTAAAGCTTGTTCATCTTCTAGTTTAGCAGTAAGAGAAGCCAATTCCTTGTCTTTCCTTTGAATTGTCTGTTCAAGTTCTTTTTTGTTGCGTTCCAAATCAGAAACAGCTTCTTGGGTAAGTTTTAAGTCTCCTTCAGTCTTCCTCTTACCCTTTTCAATATCACCTCTTAATTTCTTTTCGCGTTCTAACGAGTCTTCCAACTCGTCCAAAGTCTGTTCCAACTTGTTCTTAACTTTGTTAAGATGGTTGATTTTGTCTTCAGCCGCCTATAATCAAGTAATAAGTAATTATTTATTGTATAAGATAGTTAATAAAAATTGTGAACCAGGCATGAATCTAAAATATTTAAACTGACCTGTAATTCTTCGGCAGTTTTCTGGGCGGTTTCACCAGACAATTTCTTTTCTTTGTTCAACTTGTTGATGAGTTCGTCTTGGTGAGCAATTTCATCGTTCAAGTTGCGAATTTGGTGATCCTTAGATGCCTTATCTTGATCGGACTTTTGAATAGAAAGTTCCAAATCTTCGACATCTTTTTTGAGTCCAGCATTTTCTTGTTCCAATTTCTTTTTCTGTTGGAACAGTTGGTTACGCGCATCTTCTTCCTGGGTTAACCTCTCTTGAGTTTCCTATAATAAATGTTGAAAATTTAGTCAAGACGTCCATTGTTAATAAATGTATAAATTAAATGAATTCGTAGAATAAGACGTAACACATTTATATCGTATGTCTACTGAATGTATAATTTATACATTTCTATATATAAATAGTTTTCATAAGATGTAAAAAATATAAAACCAATTTATTTGTAAGTTTAAAATAAATAAAATATGTTATAATATATTCTTAATATTTAAAAGAGAAATATAATTGCAGCATTTGTTTGAATCCCTGCCAATTCTAATTAAAAAAATAAATTCCTCGAGTAATACTAATAGTTTGAATACTCATCGGTGCATGTCAAAATTACGTGGGCATAAATTATATTCAAATTAAACAGGTTAATGAAGTAAATGTTTAAAGAATTTTACTTGATGAATGCCGTTTACACATAAACCAATGTTGTCCAGATGTTTTGATAATGACCCAACAGTCAACGCGTTTGATTTAATCATTTATTTTGGGAATATTTTCAACATATCTATAGAGGTCGGTATGTTGGCATTTTTACTAAAATAACGATGAAATCAGATTACGAAACCTATATAGTATACATCAATGTATACGTGTATTATGTTTAACATTTAAAACACAAACTTTTTTAATGAAACATTTATAAATACCACAATTATTATAAAAATAGTACTATTTACAATTTAAGTAAGTAATGCAACATTCTATAATCCGTATCTACTTAATTTGGATAATTATACTTTTTTAACTATTCGAGTGCAATGTTATAGAAATAAACTCCTTTTAATCTATCTAGGAACATCAAAATAAAATATTTAATTAAGTATATAACTTTAAAAAGTACATAAATTGAATATTTATTATTTTTGTAATAAGCATAATTAACTTATTAAAGTGTCTGTATTTAATGCAGCGAAAAAGCGAATAACTTATACGTTTCTATATAATTTATTTTGCCTCTAAGTGTACTTTATAGTGTTTATAATGTGTAGGGTTGTACTTGTTCTTGACCATTTCACCAATGTAAATAAAATTATTTAATTTTTAATCTCTAGCCAAATTTAAATTGTAATGCAATGTACCTATGTATCTTTAACTTAGACAATTGTTCAAAAGTAAAGACAGCGATGTATTAAATATTAAATAAAAGTGCCGACCAAACCGCGTTTCTTTTTCACTGAAATAGTATACAAAAATTAAAATACAACAATCCTAAATAATAGTTATAAGATATACAAAAAGAACATCGTCGAGTGATGCATTTGCTTTTTAGAAATCCTTAATTGTGCATATTAATTATTTTTAAATATTTTGTATTAAATATAAATACATGCAATGAATAACATTTTTCGCTTTCATACAGCAGAATATAATCTATTTCCAGGTACATTGCGTGTGGGCACGTGTTATCGCATGTCCCCCACCCCCTGTCAGGATTTATGGGTGTTTTCGTTGCCAGCGAATTTTTCCAACATGTCGAGAAATCTATGTTATGAAAGAGGGAGAAGGAGATCCGATGTTCCACTGTAATATTATCGTGGAGGCGTTGAAACTAGGATTATTCATCGAACTTTAAAATAGACCACCAGACGTGTCTCGTGGGATATTCTTTCACGCCACTTATGTCGCATGGAACTATTCATGGATGATAAATATAACATAATATTAACATTTTTTAAAGTTAATATTCTGCGAAAAGTAAAATCGTTATGGGTTATTTTAAAACTGGAAATCGTGAAAATGTATTACACTTGCTGTCAGCTCGATCCAAAGCTTAATTAAAATATCACGTATTTTTAATTTTAGTATCTTGTAAAATTTAAATTATTATTAACTTTTGTAAAAGTTAAGCATTTAATTTTTTAATTTTTTTGTTCTACGTTTATTAAATTAAATTTGACATTTTGAGTTGTAAAATTATTTTAGATGTACATTAGAGTTCTATTTATTAGAAAATTCATCTTTTGTAAAAATATATTTAAATAACTTGTACATCAAGACGTTGAGTGCATTATTATTTATTGATATTTCTCTTTAAAATCTCAGTTCTTAACTTAAATAAGAGTACAATAATAATTAAGCATATAAAATTATTTAAGATTTTTATAATTTTATTTTTAATGTTTTGAATTCTTTCACGTCTTAATATACCTATTTGAGATTTAATAATATAAATAATTAATAATTAATAATTATAAAATAAATGAATATCTATTTATGTATGATTATTGCTATACTTTAGTGCTCGCACTATGGTTAAGAAAAATAACTATTTAAACAAATACTTGAATGAATATCAATATGTTTTAAATGATTTAAATTGTGAATCTTTATAGTAACTGCTTTAAGCTTTGAATAAGCTGAATTAATTGCAATTGACTACATTCAGAAGCCAACGTATAGTTTCTAAATGATTTAAATTAATGATATCGAATTGTAATCAACTACGTTTAAAATGTTTTAAACTACTGTAAGTTATATTTGTCCCTGTCTGTACCGAATAAAATTAAAAATTAAAATAATTAAAACACTCACCGAAAGTTGAGATTCCAAGTCGCTCTTTTGTGCCGCCAACTTAGCTGCTCTTTCTTGGATGCTGGATGAACTTCCCTTTTCACCTTCCAGAGATTGAAGTAGCTGTGTCTTCTCAGCCAACAGTTTGGTGTTGAGTGCTTCGAGTTCTTTACGAAGTTTCTCTTCACGTTCAAATGCAGCTGTGACTTTGTCTACTTCTTCTTCCAATCTCTGTTTATTAATTTCCAAGTCTTTTAGTAAATCCATGGCGGCACTGGGTTATTACTAGGCTAGCACTCAGGAAGGCAAGTGATGTGTCTAATGGACCAAGTGTTCGATGTTGCTGAACAGAGCGGCTATGTGGGTGGACCAGTAACGCGAGAATATTTTTGGTGGGGGAACTATATTGTGTAGAGTGCATATTTGGATGCAACATGGGTGGTGATATTTATATAAATTCTATTTAATATATTTATAATAATAGCAAATTTTTTTATCCTAGGATCATATTATTAATGATTATTTGAAAAAGTATTTTATTTGAAACATTCATGAATACTAAAAGTATCAAATCCCTATGATATTGTATTAGTATGCTTGAATAAATACAAATTTGAAAAAAAAATCTATATTTAAATCAAAGATATTATAAACACATTCGTTTTCAAACGAACTATGTTGGTATTCGTTACAAGATTTTTTTTTATAAATACAAAATAAATTAAACAGAATCTAAAAATAAAAAACTTAGTCAGTTTTTTTTAAAAATTGATCTGTTTTATTTTAGGTTTAGTAGGTTTTCATTTATTATTATAAATTACTCAAACTTAAAAGGGGATATATTTGTATATGGTTTTGATATTGATGATAATTTAAAGCTAATATTATCACATTTTTAGAAATATGATTTATTATAGCTACGTAAATAGTTATAAATTAATGTTAGATTTAAATATATTTGTAGAAAAATTATTTTTAACGTTTGTATGATTCATGACTATGAGTTTAGAAATTAGATTGGGTATACATTATATTATTCCAAATGTTATATAATACATAATTAAACACAATATTATATTATAAATATAAAAGGATTTTATTATAAGATATCTAAATTTAATTATGATGTATTATTGAATTTCAAGGATCCTAAAAAAATTTCTAATATTTTGTGGTATTTAAAACTTGAAATCCCATTAAAGAGATTATAACCACGATTTGATTACAAATTACTTGTAGAAAAATTCGGAATTTATGAGATTAAAATATGTAAGTACATAGTATATATTTAAAATCTTAAAATTAAAAATGTTTAATACTTACTCTTAATTCATCTTCAATGTTAGCCACATTGAGTAATGGTTTGACGCGAGACCACATCTTCCACCATGGCCACGACCTCAATTTCATGTATTTCCTTAAGCTTCTCTGGATAACCAATAGAGCCAATCTGTCCAAAAATAAAACTTGTTAGAAAAATGTAAAACAATGGAGATTTGGTTATATGATACGTTAACAAGTTTTAACATAAAAATTAAAATAGAAATTGTAAGAATTTGCGACCACGATTTTTCTGTTCAACCTATACTGAATATTCAGAAAAGCGATATATCTTCGCCATAAATAACTTGTGTATATTTTTACAAATCGCGGATACTATTACGACGACATAACAGCTATAACGCATAATATATTATATGTATTTATAAATATACTCGCAAAACGTTTTTTTAACGATTTATTGTTAGTATTTTCATATTTTTATTGAGCGTGGCAAGTTTACTAACCTCTGGTCTTGTAATTTCTTGAAATCTTTTCTGGCAATATAACCACGAATGTATGACTGTAACCATCCAATGATTTTGCTTAGACGTTCATCACGTAATTCTTCCATCTGACCTAATACTCCAGCACGGAAGAATACCTATTGAATTTAACGAACAACCCAAAGGAAATCAAGTTAGATTTGTGAACAAAAAAGAACTATAGAGTTCAATCTCGGCAAATGACTGTCAAACAATTTTGAACGAATATTTGTAAACATAAAATTAAGTTTATATCACTTTGCCGTATTATATTGATTTGATCTCATTGAAACAAAAAATAAACATGCAATCAATATGTATATTGGCAAAAAGGATATTAACTGAAAAACTTTATTTTATGTAGTATCAGTTTCTTTTTTCTTAATTACAAATTGTACAACTCGTCAAAGCTATGAAACAAACAGTTAAAAAATGAAGCAACATTCTGGTGTTAAATGATATCAATAGTAAAAAGCAGAATTTTCATGCATGATAAATTTATTTTCATAATTATTATATCCCGGGTTATTGTTTTTATCTTATAATTTTAAATTTTCGATAAAATATTTAACAAATAATGACGTTCACAATAATATGATGAAATATACGTAAAATACATTTGAAATGAAATGTTCTAAAAATATTGGACATTGACCACGACCTACATACACATGAGTCCATGAAATGAACGAACGTTTACAAAATATTTCTTAACCTGTTAGTCTATTGTATCCTATTAATGGCGTAATTCCGGACTATAAAACTGTGTTATATATATTGCAAGACATTATAACTTTGATATTTGTCGAAGATATATAATCATTTTTAAGTAATTTTAACTACATTATATACGTAACACACTATTTTGTTTTGCTTAAAATAATATTATGTTGTTTAAAATCGTAGTAAAAACCTCAAACATAAACAATTATATCTACGTAAGTATCAATTGAAATCTTAGTGAAAAATCTGTATATTTTTATTTACCATATTGACATTTTTAAACTTTTTTTGTGCATAGTAATTGAATATTCGAACATATTTCACTAATGTATAATATTTTGTTCCCCAAACATTTTAAATAGGCATCACACAGTTGGTTTGTAATTATACACGATGTGATTAGCGTTGTTAGGTGTGAACATTGAACGGTCAAATCAAATAAATCGATTTTACAACTTGAACAACCTCGAAAGTTGAAAATTTCTTTAGACCCGATTGTTTGAATTTTCGAAACAAAGTTTATTAGCTTAAAATTGAAATGTATACGTCAACAAATTGTATTTCGTCCACTTTAAGACCAAAATTACGCCACTATATGAATGTGATGGTATTATATTATATGCGTGAATCAAACTAATAATATAATGACGTCAAACATATTGTCCCAAAAGTATACCTTAGTGTTACCCAACCGGTATTGTTCTGGGTCGAGTTCAATTCCTTCCAAAATTGTTTTTGTCGCTTCTTCGGGCGACATTGAGTCTTTCACACCTTTTGGATACAGTATTTTGTATCTTTTGTGGTGCGATGCGAAAGGTATTTTTTAAAATAAGCGGTGGAACATGAAAAAACCAAAAAACAAGCAAGGATAAAACAAAAAGGTTTTGTTTTTTGTTTGCATTACAAATATAAATTGGTATACAAAACGTCTAAAGGAATTGGATAATAATCCGTCTACTCATTTGTAGATTTGTTCTATAGTATTATACTAGACTACGCACTACATATATAAACTAATAACTACAGTACTAAGGTCTAAGTGGGCACATGCTACAGCGGCTATTCTAATATTAGTAAGACATCGATGAGCGTCATTGAAGTAGATAAACAACTATTTTATTTACGGCCAGCTTAATATTAAATAATCCTAGAGCCCAATATTGTATACAGCAAAAACCTTCAGCAAAAAGTTGCAATAAGTTTGCGCATAGTGTGAAGCAAAATGGCATAAATTAAGAAATTTCGCAAACGAAAATTCCTATATTGGTTTTGCTTTTTGAACATGCCTTAGTGTGGCCAAGCCTGAATTTATCTGGGTCCAACCCGACGTTTTCCAAAATGACGCCAGCGCATTTCTTTGGGTCAGTCTCCTTTTCCGCCGCAGCAGGAGCTAAGATCTTGTATCTATTGATTTGTTTATCGGTTTAAATAGAAATTAATAATAATAATAATAAAAACACATTTAAATTATAATATGTTCAATTTCCATTTTCCTTTACACTGCCGTTTTATTTTGAAACGTATATATATAATAATCACTACATTGACGCTATACAAACTGCAGGGTGTATTGTGTGGAATGCTATGTAGGTAGGTTTGATAGTGCTGCATGCCAATAATAATTATTAATATCAAACAGGGTTCACTCGAGGGTATCTAAATTACTAAATTTGGGTATTCTAATGGAAAATATTGATAGTTTTCGACAACTAGCCTTTGTGTGCCCAATACGGTAACTCTCCGGATCTAATTGGATTTCTTGGAGACATTTAGCAGCTGATGTTTTAGGATCAGATTCAGCAGCCATAGTTGCGGGTGCTAAGATCATGTATCTTTTTACCAAATAAAATTAATTAATTTTAATTATTGTATGTATAATTAATACAAATCATTTTGTGTATAAGACATAGGTGAGTAGGGTATATTTACTAAATTTTGACGATGGATACATTAAATTATAATTGAAGGCAATTTACAAATTTGATATTCACCGATTGGGAATTTAATAGTTTAAAAAATGTGTACTAATAATATATTTTTAAAATTTATAATTGTGCATTATGATTGAAAAATAAAGTAAATAATTTTTGTAATGCTTACCGCAGTTTGAAGTCTGGGTATACCATTCTGTTGGGGAAACCTTTACGGCAAATACGGATACCTTCAAGTACACCGTTACATGTCAGCTGGTGCATTACCAAGTGAGAGTCAATCACACCTATGAAAAACACGATTTCATAAGTATATATCAATGAATAAATTATTAAATATTATTCGTAAATTATAATATATAATAAAAAACTTACCAGGCTGTTTCAATTCATTGGGAATAATACAACGTACGAAATGAGGTTGTGTGCTCTTCAATGTTGTCATCAAGTTGTTCAATTGTTCCTATGATACACATACGAATATTAATATCAATACCTACTAAACATCGTCATCAAAACAAAAACGAAAACAAAAAACAAAAAAATTGTTATCGTTGTACAAAACACGTTAAAACATACAATTTCAGTTAAAAACCATACTTTTCAAGTTAAGTCATAAACAAAAAAAAAATCTTTGTTGTAAAATTATATTGTTGCATAAAATTATAAAATAAAACGCTGATAGAGTTCGTCAAGCTTGAGTTTTGAGTATAATATACTCTCCCTCTTTTCGCTAACCAACACATTTTGTTATAAAACCCAAAGCAATAATGTATTTATTGCCTTTGGAAAACGATTCTGAACGGAGCTAGGATTAATATTGTGTTAATATGGACGTTTTCAATTCAAAGTTTAATTAAAATCGAACGAATATATAATACTGATTAATATAGTATTACAATTGCATATGTCGTAATATCGTGGAAAAATTTAAGTACGACCATAATGGAAGTTTCTCAGATTTAAAAGATGTGATAAAAAAAATGTTCTCAAACCGGTGAATCAAATAAAGGTTTTTAACGCGTTACCAGCCGTGAAACAGTTTTTTCGAAAATTTCTGACCAATGATTAAACGATTATATAAAGTATCTCCCTTTAGTGCAGTGTAAAATGTCCAATATTATGTAGAAAGTCTTTAGGTGTAAAACTTATGGAATACTCCGATTTCTGGGAAAAGTATTCGTATTAGGTAGATAATAGGTATAGCTCTGCTCATAATCGTAATAATAAAAATATTGTTAATAAAAATACAATAAATTCAAAATGCAGTAGTATTTTATAATTATAATAGCAATAATACACAATTATTAAAACTTGCATATTATAATGCACTAATTGTTTTATTATTTTTTTTTTTAGTACGTATTTGTATACGAGTGCAACACATTCAGATATATCCGGTTCAAACGGTATTTTGCAAATCGAATAATTAAATAAATATTAATACTAATTTGGTTTATGCCTATGTATAATGGTCCAAAGGGCAAAAAACAATAAACTAAGTTCTAATTCTAATTCTAATTCTACTTTGAGGAATACACAAAAAGAATATGCCGAATTTGTAGAGTTCATTTTGCGTCCTTATCAAAACAACTCAATTCGTTGGTGTGATTTTTCAAAATCGGCATTTCAGTGGATTCAAAAACAAAAATCAAGGCCGAAGTAATTATTATTACTGATGATATACCTTATAGGATGACGACACAGTGGCGAAACCACCACCCTTCTTTCCACGACCTCCTGTTTATTTGCACAAATATTTTAGAATTGACAATGATAATAAATAGGTAGGTAGGTAGGTACTATCGATGTATTAATATAAGTGTTGTGTTTTTCCTAAATAATCTGTGTTGATTTTTATAAATATGTATTATATAATATTTTGAGTGTTGTTTAGTATAAAATAACGTAACAAATAGAAGACAGAAGATATCGAAATAGTATTGTAAATAATTATTGTAGTCATGTAATATTTGCGAAGCAGTTTTATGGTCTCACAAAAAACACGATTTTGTGTGTAACACTTTGGTAAAATTACCCTGTGTAATGTAGATACTGTCATGAAAGCTGAACCTTTTGTGCGTTTACCACCTGCATTGTATAAAATCCATCATAAATCATGATTAAGTTAATATTAATTTAAAATGTTGATGTTATTTCATTTATACTTGATACGGTATTCTTTAATACGATGATTCTAAATATTAATGTAGGTAAAATGTCTTATTAAAAAAATATACATCAGTTATTAAATGATTTGTATATCGTTGAAATGAATAATACGTTTACGTAATACTTCAAAAATGGTTGTGAAAATGTGAGTTGAAGTACTACATTATAGACAATTTGATTTTTAAATATTTCTGGCAGCACAAAATTAAAAATTCACAACATTTTCATGTACTGTTTAAAAATGTATTTGAAATGTGTGTGTGTGTGTGTGTGTGTGTGTGTGTGTGTGTGTGTCCTGTAGTTCTGATTAAACAGTAATCATAAGTAATGTATTTCATTAATCGTGTATGATAATTATTGTTAATTAAACATTTTAATTAATACAAGAAATATTACCTTTGCCACCGGCGTCAGCAGCAGCGCCACCAGATTGACCTGGATGATCAGCGAAGATCTCTACCAACAATTTGTTTGTTCCTTTTTTGAATTGGTCAACAACAGTGTCGTTCAATGGATCCTTGTTCTTTTCTAACCAACCGGTGATGTTGTATGATACCTAAACACCGATAAAAGACAATATTTAAGCATGAAAGCAAGTATTGAAAAAACTGTTTAATTATTTTTTTAATATCCGATAACTCACCACACCGGCGTAATGGGCAAGTGCGAAATGTCCGGCTGGGCAACCTGGTTTGGGAACAGCTGGTTTCCTGAAGTTGGGTGATTTACCCAAATGGTTGGAGGTCAATTTGTCTTCAAAGGTCTTATCCGTGGCTTTGGGGAACATAGATTCCTCTTCAAGGATGGACAAGATACCCATGGGCTATATTATGTAAATTTAAATAAAATTAGATACCTATGTGAGTATAAACACAGGTTTATAACGTACACGCATTGAAAAAACTTTTTAATATATTATAAATTAAAGTTTATAGTACTAATTTTAAAAATTAACTCAGAATAATTATGTATTTAATATCAATAAAAATTTTGTGATTATCATTTGCATAAGACTTTAATTAACATTATTTTTGAGTCTAAAAAATAAGTAAGAGTTATTTTTAATATTTCAAATGAGAGTTATTTAATATCTTATAATCCATAACTTACCTAATTTTTATAAAACAAAAACTTTTTACACTCCTTTGATATGATAATATAATAGTTAATTATAATTATAATTTTAAAATAAGTTAATACAAACAACTGTTTAACTAGCCTCATTGAAATATTATGGTTATAAACCATGTATAATTAAAATTAATTTAATATTTTTATTATTTATTAAAGTATTTTAAAGTGATTTGAATGCGTTTAAGTACATTATTAAGTTGTTTTTTGATATATATAAATTCACAAATAAAAACAAAATTGTATCATGTCTCGTGTTGTACAATTATATGGATAAAATAAAAACATGCAAACATTCTATACTACAACTTTATTTTCTATAGGTATGAAGATAAATCTGAATATCAATGTTTCTGACAACTAAATACTTATACCTGTGTTATAATAGTTAAGAGTCAAATCTTCATGTTTTTGAACTACTCAATGGCCTAGTTTGGTATGGGAATTGTATATTGGCTTCTTGACGATTCATTTTTAATTTAATTTATATTGATATAAATAATGAAAGGTTTTTTTCCTAATTTTTTTCATACAAACCTTTTCAATAAGATCAATGCATTGTTGCAAATCCATTCCAAAGTCAATAAATGTCCATTCAATACCTTCGCGTTTGTATTCTTCTTGTTCTAATACAAACATGTGATGGTTGAAAAACTGTTGCAGTTTTTCGTTGGTGAAATTAATGCAAAGCTGTTCGAACCCGTTGAACTACATAGTACACACGAATGGGAAAAGAAAAAACAAGCAAATACAGTTAGCATGCACGATGTATAAGTAGGTATACAAATACAACATTTAAACAAAAACTTTAATGAGTAATAACTAATAACTACTATATACTAATTCGACGTGTCTTTCATGGCACGTTTTGGAAAACCAACTAAAATACTGTTGTAAAACTATAGGTACATATTATATGTTATACAATGTCCTCGTTTGTCATATGGAGGATCGATCTAATTACTGTGCAGAATCTCAATAACTCTAACACTCAACCGCCTGCTCCAATACGGGTACCTTTTCAATAAGTTCAATACAGGCGGCTAAGTCCATTCCGAAATCGATAAAAGCCCATTCAATACCTTCACGTTGGTACTCTTCTTGTTCAAGTACAAACATGTGATGGTTGAAAAACTGTTGTAACTTTTCATTGGTGAAGTTGATGCAAAGTTGCTCGAAACCGTTGTACTTTAAATTGGGTAGCAAACAATAAACATGTTAAATGGATGTGATGTGTAAAATAAAATATTAAACCGATTTGAGTACGGTGGAACGAATATAATACGTAGGTATAGGCATTAGTCAGTATTATTATTAGAGGGATATCATGGTAACATTAATTGGCGGGTAATAATAATAATAACATGACGCTACAAAATATGTAAAGGGTAATAATAATATTATAAACAGTTAGCTATAATATCTTTTATATGTCTATTATAGGTAATAGGTATGGTTCAAAATAATAATATCTACTATACATAATATATCCTTACCGACGTTTCTCGAAATATTCTCTCGTAGTAAATTGAAGTGTAACACATAACTAAAATTCTGGGGACTCAATCGAGGATTGGAAATCAAACAAAAATGCACATAAGTCATGCTTTCCGATTATATCGAAGTACCTTTTCGATCAAGTCGATACAAGCTAATAAATCCATTCCGAAATCAATGAAAGCCCAATTGATGCCCTCTTTTTTGTATTCTTCTTGTTCCAACACAAACATGTGATGGTTGAAGAACTGCTGAAGTCTTTCGTTGGTGAAATTAATACACAATTGTTCGAAACCATTGTACTGTGTTTATCAAATTCAGAATTTAAAATATTATGTAAAATATTATTAAGGTAATAAATGTGCTTAGTAAATAATCGTGTCGTATTTAAACAAAAACTGGGTATGTTGTTTTTACATATAATTAAAGCTATCAATTCAAAAGTAGTATGAATCAATGTAAATCAAACAGTCCTATTAAATTAAAATGATGATACAATTTTTGCAATAAAAATGTATTGAACCTATGTTAACCTATGGATAAACTTATTCAGACATACTATAGTAGTAAATGGAATATTGAACAAAAATATTCCTTACAGAACAAGTTCATAATATGTAATATAATACAATTCAATAATAAATTAAATATGAATAATTTACTCAATTACAATTTATAATACAACAGTAGGTATCTATTGCATTCACAATTGTAATTAAGTAGATTACGTAGATAATACTCACGTCGAAAATTTCAAAACCAGCAATATCCAACACACCGATGAAATGTTGACGTTTTTGTTGTGTGTCCAAAGTTTCATTACATTTTTTCACCATGAATTTGAAAAGTCTGTCAAACATACCCTTGGACATAGCACCCACAGAGTAGGAGACCTATAAAGAAGGCAATAATATACAGTTAGCACATATTTCGGTAAGTTATGCTAAATAATAGCACAGAGTTAATAATTCACAAGTACCCGGTGAAAGAATCTATAAAAAAATAAAAAGCACACTTACTTGATCCTTGTTACGACCTTGTGTGACGAATTCGTTTCCTACTTTGATTCTGGGTTTCAATAAATTTTTGTACAAATCATCGCAGTCAACGCCCAATAATTTTGCAACACGTGCACCTTCCTACAATCAGAAACAAAATATGTATTTTATAAATATGAAAATTAAATTATGACATAATAATTACCTCAGTGCCGTCAGCTTCAGCCTGTTCTTCCCGACCACGTTGTTTGAATTTCATGCCTCCCATGTGCATGACTGAGGCGGTAATCTTATAAATGTCATTCTTTTCTTCTTCAGTGAATCCAAGCACATCGAAAGCTTGCTGTTGTTTTATACATTTAAAGATTACAAAATTAGTGGAAGAATAATAATTAGGAATTCGAATTAGTGTATTTCGTTTTGATTGATATACTTGAAAAAAATATAAAAATGTTAACGTGATTCAGAAAACACGTCTATGAAATTTTAGACTTTTTTCTAGTATTAAAAAAAAAATATATATAAATATAATCTAAATAAGGAAAAAATTTAGAGTTAAGGAAAAATTGAAGGTTGTCTTAGACTTGAGTCAAAAAGCAAATTTTAGTCCAAGTAGACAAGTCTGTACAAGAAGCAAAAATACTTACAAAAACCTAAGCAAGGAGACACAAAAGCTTATAATAAAGCTAAATAAAAATATATATGATGTAAACTTACCCTCACTCAATCAAAATACAAAATAAAAGTGAGGAACACATGAATATTTTCAAAATATAATAATATCTGTTTGAAGATGAAATAAAATATAATAATATAACAAATTTAATAAAATAATGAATAATGTAATGTGTGTGTTAAAATAAGCGAAGCAGAGAAAGCTCCCCGAAATATAAAGAAATATTTATATTATATTTTATATTCGATTTTCGGTATGATGAAAATTAAGGACTTTCATCAATCATTAAATGTTTTGTATACATAAATATATAGTAACTGTAAAGGCACGAGACTCACATCGGTAAGTTGAAATTCCTCTCCGTCATCCATTCCGGGAATAGCGATTTTTCCTTGAGATACATTGTTGTAATCATAGATGTTGTTAGATAACATACACATTTCTGCCAAAGCAAGCGATTTCAGTTAAGCATGTAATGTTTAATTATATTTAATACGAAGACATTTTATATTTATACACAATATACATATTTATAGATAATTATAAATAGTATAACATAGAATCAACATATTATACTACTAAAATCATGTTTGTCAAGAATATATTTTTATTGTAAATACATTTTTTTCAAATATTGTTTTGAGACAATATTTACAACAAACATAATCCTATATAATTTTGCATGATGCTATTATACGCTTGCTAACATACACAATAACATAAATTTCGGACAATACAATAAAGCATATGACGCTAAAATATTCAGTCATACAAATAAATATCTAAATAAAATAAAACAGTTACGGTTATAATAGTCATAATATGGCAATATGCACCCAAAATGTAAAATGTATTCCTATAACAGTTTTTTTTTAATTTTCCCCTGAAAACCTATAGATCGCATTTTATTGGCTTGATGATGCTCGTAAGATATCTATAATAATTATAGCACATGAATAAATGATGTATTTAAAGTAAATAATGAGATTACATGAAGCGCGGGTCGCACTTACATCAGTAATTTGAAATTCTTCACCATCATTTACTCCAGGTATTCGAGTTTTACCTTGGCTAACGTAATAGAAGTCTGAGATTCGATTCTTACTCAATAAACACATTTCTGCGTGCAAAGTGCATAAAACAGTTATTAGGTATCACAAAATCATACATGTCCAAAACAAACAAAAAAAAAAAAAATTATGATATGCTAATACATAGGTATTGTGAAGATGTTTCAAGTTGCATATACGTTTTGCGATTGACTTGAGTTTTAATACACATTATTAAGTAGTACACTGCCGATAGTCACAATAGAGTTTAGCCAAAACAATCAAGCCGCTTGGTATTCAAAGATTACACATTGACGGTAGGAGAGATTCAAAAGGATATTCGTTTAGAATGCTCATTCATTATTTTATTTGTATAATAGTTTTGAGGTGTTGGTAGTAAGTATTGAAAATATTTTCAAGCATTTAAAAATGGTTATCTATTATGAGATTGGAATGAGCATACTCGAACGAAAATAGGAAAAGACAGGGAAAGACTTACATCAGTAATTTTGAACTCTTCTCCGTCATCTACACCAGGTATACTAGTCTTTCCTTGGCTGACGAAATGATAATCGTTTACATTGTTGGACAGGAGACACATTTCTGGTTAAAAAAACAAACCCCATTTGTCATGCATTGGGTTTAATGTGTAAAATTGATATAAGAGATAATCTCATATATCTAATTTACTAAACACATTCAGGTATCGGGTTTAAATCAAAACTTTTTCCGATACACAAAGAACAATGAATTCCAGAAATGCAACGCGCACCAAGAACCATTAAATATGTAATTTTTCTAAATAATTGAGTTTGATTTTTAAAATCGTTAGATCTATTAAAATTAATTAAAATAAAATAAAAAAACATGCAACTTCTGGAATCAAAATTCTATTGTGAAAACAGTATAATATTAAACTAATATATTGTTCAAAAATCAAAATATCTCCCATATTCGCAATCAGTAGTGTATAAGATTTTTTTGGTAGAAACGTAAAAAGTCAGACGTTAGAATTAAGTTAAAATATCACAAAAAACAAATTCATAATAATATGAATAAAATGCAAAAACCATTTATATGGTACGAGTTAAAAATGGTTTGTAGTCTGTACTTATTATAACCTTGTACACTATGATTCGTGGTGTTTTAAAACTAAATTTTTTAAATGTTAAAAATAAAAAAAATGTATTTACATGGCTACAACAGCTAATGTCAAAAAAATCTGTTGGTCTGTTCTATATATAATACACTCTATACACTTTTATCAAAAATAAAAAATAAAAATCACACAGTTGGCGGTTTGAGACTAAGTCGGTCATCAATGTATATATTATATCACGTATTATAATATATAGTTTGGGACATATTTTTATAGTCATATCGTATGTAGGTAGAGTGTAGACGTTACGCCTGTACTAGTTTTGTAATGTACGGCTGGGTAGTTTATTTACATAATTGTATACACTCGTAGATTTTCTACATAATAGATCAAAAAAAAAAAAAAATGCATCTATACTACGTCATCTACGGTTGCTAAGACGCCCAGCATTTCGACGAATATCAATAGGTACGAGGAGAATATACGTGAATAGTATATTATTATGGAATAAGGAATAATAAAGTTCGAGGAAGTGTAGTGAGGATAAGACCGATTTGTAGGTTCTTACGTCGGTCAATTGGAATTCTTCTCCGTCATCCATACCGGGGATAGTAGTTTTTCCCTGTGACACGTAGTGATAGTCGTGGATATCTTGACTCAGCATGCACATCTCTGTGTTTAACAACCAATCAGTGTTATTCGGATTCAAAAGTAGTATGGTTAGTATCGATCGAATAGACTACGATTTCATTCGCCAACGTTTTATCTCAATTATTTTACATTACAATATTATTATCTATATATATTATTACCTCCCCATGACATAATATAACCAACGTCCCTTTTACTGTGTATGAGAGCATTAATACAATTTTAAGAGTAATTATTAAATTTGATCAGTAAGTATGAATAATGTTTTTCTTAAGTTATTATATATATATTACCTTTTACGCCTTTCACGGATCCAGACATGATTTGGTAGAAAATGTGGTAAGATCTTTCAAGAGATTGCTGAGAGATGACACGAGCCTTTTCCAATAGATCTATAGTGGTAAAACGTTTTAAAATTATAGATTAGTTCAAATTATTTTACTCATGTCCAATCGATATTTATGACCACGAGGTACATTGATTATACTCAAGTAGCTGCGATATGTATTTATCTTGAAATGTACTTACAAGTTTCGATATCAGCTCCGGCCAATTTACCGGAGGGACCGAAATGAATACGGATGAATTTACCCTAAGCATAACCAGAAAATATTATATAGTATCATGTGATTTTAGTATAATATTGGTATTATAGTTTGTGTACTTACGAAACGAGAAGAGTTGTCATTACGGACGGTCTTAGCGTTACCAAAGGCTTCCAATACTGGATTGGTTTGTACAACTTGATCTTCCAAGGAACCCTATTAAGTAAAATTACATATTTGTCAAAGTAGGTTCAATAATTATTATTGTTGTACTTGTAAGTATTCAATTTTAATAATCACCTTCTTCTTAACACCACCAGCGGCTTCCTCTTCCTTCTTTGTGCTAGCACCAACAGTGGCGAAGTACGCAATTACCTTCTTCGTGTTTTCAGTTTTTCCAGCTCCAGATTCTCCTCTGAATAATAAAATATAAAATATAAACATAACAAGAATTCTGATATTAAACTAAATTAATATTATCTTACGTGATCAACATAGATTGATTTTCTTTGTCTGAAAAAAAAATGAAAAAAAAACATTGTTATGATATAAACTTTTACAATGGTTATTATATTTATCAGAGATATATTGTATGATACATTTGATATTATACTTGAATTATATTAGCATATTATTTAAAACTATAGTTGAATTCTAATATTTGATTCAAAGTAACGCTCTGAAATTAATTTATCTTTAATTAAACATTGAATTCAATATTATACTAACTTGTAAGCATGTTAACATAGGCGCCGTCAGAAATGGCGAAAATGTGGGGTGGAACTTCATTCCTCCTCTTGCCTCTGTACAATTTAGCGCAACGATTGGTGTACACGGGGAATCGTTTGTAAGGATTGATAGCAACGCAGAACAATCCGGAGTAGGTCTAAACAAATTATGAATATTCTCAAAATTAATTTAAAAATACAAATATACAATCATCGTTACAACAGACACTTGTAATAATTATGTGGATAATTTTAAAATATAATCGTTACTTGTATAAATATGCAATAAATAATCCATATGATTTTCTTATTTAAAAAAATGATAAATGTATTTTCATGTATCACGTAATTATTTGCAAAAGTGTCTCTTGTAAGAATATAAAATATACATTGTACAAAAAAAGTCTAATCTAATCAAAATTTCATTCAAAATAATCTACTACTATGATTTTACACATCTAAGAAACCAATAAAACAAACATGTTCTACTCTATAATATGTGAAGCCAATAGGTGTTGTTCTCTTGAACAGGGTTCACCTAGAACTGTCGATCCAATGTCATATTCGGCCGACAGTGATAGCAAAACAACAAACACACAGGATAGGTAGGTATTTGGGTTTTACTGTATAAATTGAAACATTTATGTCCAGGTATATCCAGATAAAATAATATCAAACAGGATTTCAAAACAATGTTTTTTTCATGAATATAAAATCATATCCTAACAACGACGAAAAACCGATGTTAATTTTATCATAATTATTGAAAATTGAAAATATTTACAATCTGTTTATTTTACCTAATAATCAAATTTGTGATGTACAACGGGGTAATGAAGTGGTCGAGTACAGTGACACTATCTCAAGGATACGAACTCAGTGCTTGTGAAGTAAAATATTTATGAACAAAAAATGTAAAAAAAATTAACTGATTAAAGAAATATATAAAAAATATTTGAAACTGTAAAATTAAAATGAATGATATGATCATTTTAAAAATATGCCTTATTAGTAAAGCATATGAAATTATACTTTATTACAATAATTATATAAATTAGTAAATTTGGTTGGTTATTATAATTTAGTATGTATTTCATGTATAATGATTGTTTTTTTGTATTTTATGAGGATTATTTCAGGAACTGGATTATACAGGATTTTCTAAACGGGTTTCAAAATCCAAAAGCACGATGCACGTAACCTCGTTCATTGGCTACCCCAACACTTACGTAAATGAGCTTATGGTAATATCTTTCTTTCAAATTATACAATACAGACGCATCGTTCAAATATGTCAAATTTGACATATCCTCGGCTTTTTCATATTTCGGTGGGTTCACTTGTCCCACTTGGTCCTTTTTGAAATCTTTTACCTGACATACCATAGAAAATGTATATTAGTAAAATCGGAATTGGTACTTACGTAAATTAATTTGCTAAAGTATCGCTGCCTCAAGTTGTGCAACACACTGGCATCGTTCAGGTAAGTCAGGTCAGCCATGTCTTCGGCTTTTTCGAATTTTGGAGGATTCACCGGATTCACATTATCTTTTTTGAACGTTTTTTCCTATGCGATCCAAAAGACAGTGTATAACATTGAAATGCAACATATTTTATATACCCATTCAAAACTTATCTGCCTTTTACTTTCGTCCCCCGACCTCCATATTCTGATATGTAAGGTTTTATTTTCATTGATTTAAATTCTCATCAATGTATTTTAGAACATTAAGTTATTAAGAGTTAGAAAACATTAAAATCAATTATTACCTCACTATACTGATTAATATTAACTTTATAAAAATGAATCCTTAACAATATAATTTCAAATTTCTGTACATCAGTAAGATTATAATGTATCTAAATTAAATTATTTCTATTAAAATTAAACAAATATTTTTGTGTAGGTATCCAGATACATATAACTACCTACAGTTATCGAAAGTTAGATTTAATCTAAATAAAACCTTGTAATTGTAGACGAAAGTGCAAAGATTACTTATATCGTAATACATAGTTAATTTTTATCGTTTAATAATTATTATTAACTGTCAGTAAAATAAAAATGTTAAAATAATTAATCATCGAAGTATATTGCAGTTGAATGTTGTTACCACCCCTTAAGGTATTTTGAATATTTAATGTTATCTCAATTCTGTAATTCCGATTTATCAGTGAAAAAATTTAATAGGAAATTTTAGGTATCTTCTTTGTTGCTACAACATTATTTACTTATAGTAATTAATTGTGATATACTTATATATAATATACCGTAACAGTGTAACATAATGATTATCTACATGTACAAATTACAAAGTTGTTCATGTTACCGAAAGTCCACAAAGAATATTATTCCATTTAAATAATAGTTATTATTTATTGTTCATAATATAAACAAAAAATATCGTGAAATTAGTATGAAATATTTCAAAAAATAAAAATATTAACTCTAACTATACCTATTAAAAATATATTAAGCTCACGCTGAAATATCAAATAGATTTTAGAAGATTTTAAAATGTTTTTGAAACATCGTAGAATGACATACCTCTCCATTAGGAAGAGCGACGGTGACCAATTCACCCTTGGTTCCTCGGATTTCTCCCTGGACGAAACCTTCGTCATCATCAGGCACCCAGCAAGCCTTTTTCGCATCGTAGGGTTTGGTCTGATCAATTCTCTTCTGTTCGAGAGATACGAACAAGTATGGGGTTGGATCTGGGTCATCACCTTCTTGTTTAACTACACGCGGCATATTTGTAGTTTGAAGAGAAAAGGCAAAGAAACGATTTGTTGCACGTCGTCACACACCTCTTTTATTTATGGTGTTATTTGCGACACACCTAAAAAAATAATTCGCGGTCAATTAAATGTGTTATTGTGTATCACTTCGTATATAATAAAGAGTTTTACTAATGTTAATTAATGCGAGTAAAGTATTGCTGACTTTAAATTCCAAAACAAAAATAAATTCCAAAAGATTAAACGAAGAAAATAAAAATATATTTTTTAAGTTAAAGTTGAAAAAATATTGTAGATCAAAAATCAAATGGCAAAACTGTTCACCGATTATTCAACGATTCGTTTTTATAATTTTCAGCAAACCCGAACTCGACAATAATATAACTTCGCAGTGGTGGACGCACAGTAAAAATAACACAACACAACAGTACAACCAAATGTTAGGTGACACGATTTTTTTTAAATCGAAAAGCTCTTTATCGCATATTTGAGGTGCCTGGAGCTATACATGGCGTGTATATTATTAGAAACTTGGGAGCCGGAGCCAAATAATGCAGACCCGGGTGGACACTATACAGACCGAAATAGATCGAACGGAAATGAACGTTAATGTACGGTATCGGTGTTATAGACGCAATCAGCGTGAAGCGTTTATTAGTTAGTTATAGTATTCTCGATCGCACAAATAGATCATAACTGCAGTATTCGAATGCATAAATAATATGCACTAAAAAATTTTAAATGTTCTGCAATATGTTTTATATATAGCGTGTATACCCGTTAATAACGACTTGTCCAAATGTATTTGGACTTTAACGACGACGATGGCCCTGCTGTTTGGCTATCGTGCATGTGTTATACGGTTCGGTTTCGAGATACTCGAGAGATAATTAAAATTATCATCAAAGATAATATATTGAAGCACGCGATAATATTATTTTATTATTTATAAACGATTGAAAATTGAAATCGGTGTAAGTCGACGGAACATATACATTAAACAGTGCCACTACGTCAGACAGGTCGAACGAACTCTACACGTTCACCTATTATGGCGAATGTGTCAATTTCGTTGCCCTGAAAGTTGGGATCGTAAAATATTATAAATAATTAACTATTGGCCTGGGTCCAGAGTTCTCGGCGGTTGTATGAAATACGACACGCGGCGGCCTACATTTCGCGGAGGAAGAGAAAACAAAAAAAAATTCTATTATTAGACTAGCTCGGGCCAGAAAAAACTTCAAACGATATGCTCGAGGATCTTAAGTGGTTATGCGGTAAACCTACTCTCGTAGATTCGTAAGCGGACGGATATAAAATAGTAAGCCGATGGTGACGGGTAAGCGGGTGCCGGTACATAGGTATATACGATGCACGTGGATATATTACCAGGGTTTTGATGGAACACGGATTGATCGCAAACGAATAAATGATAAAAACAAATTTAAAAATTATACCAGAGAGGTCGATGTCCGTTGGTTATTTGGCGTACACTGCCGCGTTTGGTTAGACGGCAAACAAAACAAAACAAAATCTGCGCACAAAAACAGCCGCCGACACTATGTATATTTTATTTATGTATGATCACCGACGCGGCGAATTCGATTTTCGACGAATTATCGCACGTATTACGTCGTAACACTAAAAAAAAAAAACAAAAAAAAAAAAACAAAAAAAAAATAAAAAATAAGATCACGACTTTCACAAGAAAAGAAAACACACACTTTGTTGAATTAATAATAATAATAATAATATTATAATATACTACTCAACAGCAGAGCACTATATATAAAATAAAGATATAATTATATTATATTATAATAGATATAAATGTAAAATTATTATTTAGCGGTTAAATTATAATACAATATTATATATATACGAACTCTAAAAGCACACTGCCAGTAGTCTTATTATTATATTATATGTATATATGATAATATTTTAATATTATTTATTATAATATTATATAATATTATGTTATCTACACAACAATAAGCGAATAGTAGTGTCCGAGGTGCGTATGATATTATATTATATTAGATAGTACCTACTCGGCGGTTGAGACGTAGAATGAATGGGATTGTCCCGGAGTTTCAGCATGTGAAAAACCCTAGTCTCCCCACCACGGCGGACGGCACCCCCTCCACGCGCTGATCACACAAGTTTCCAAGGCGGCTGTGTTTTATTATTTTTTTCTATTTCGGTCCACGGGCGGCCGTCTGCAACGCGATCCCGGTGCCCGTCACAAACTCCATGATTGGTCAAATGGCGGTCGTCCGCAGCGGCTATGCCGCCGGGGCCGCCGGGCAGGGTCCATTTTTAGAAGGACCGCCGCCGCCGCCGCCACCGCCACTTAGCTCGTCGCTGTCCGCCGCCGCCGCCGCCGCAACGCAATCCGTCATAAACGATGGACGACGAAGGGATTTCATTTCAAATCATATTACTTACCTATGTTAAAATATTATCATTATTTATTTAGAATAATTAATAACGATTTTTTTTTCGTTTCTAACCTTTTTTTAGGTATACTTTCGATTTCATTCCCTTCCTATTTTTCTTAAGCGAAATCCCTGTTATCCGCACATCGCATCGCATCAGCCACCACTACCACCACCACCAATACAACAGCACCATCCCCACTACCACCACTACTACCAACACCACCACCACTACCACTAACCTAACCACACATGCCGCACTTGAACCACTCACGCCATGACCGCGACTTGGCGCTTTAGAATGGCGCCGAGTTATTCGCTTCTATTCTATAACCTGCAACACGCGTTCCATCAACCCAAAACTTGTTTTTACTTTCTGTGGGCATTGTACTTAATAAAATCGACCTATCCCGTTTTTGTTTTAGTATATTCAGTTATTATTTTATTATTCTATTTACCTATACCTATAACCATTTCATTAGACGTCTCTACGTTATAATATAATATTATATACCTATACATGCGATACGCCGATGCATGTAACATACTGTTCCCAAATGATGGGTTGTATTTTGTAGAAAACGCGGAGGATCGTCTTATATTTAATAGGTATATCGTGCATTATTATTTTCTTTTGACTCGATATAACTCTTGGCCGAAATCAGAATGATAATCGTGCCAGACAGTGCAATAACATTTAAAATATAAAAAATAACCATCGGCCGACTGCAACATTTTCATTTTATTGCTGTCTGGGACATTATTATACTACGTAGGACGTATAGTATGTATAAATGTATTATTCATATAAATCAGATCTGTATAATATATTTTAGAAATATGATTTTTTTCATGGCTAATTAAATTTAATAATTTTAGTACAGTTTTAACTCATATGTAGCATAAAAATTAAAAATTATTCTTACTACCTACCTAAAATTATTTTAAAAGAGAATATTGTTTTTTATATGCTAATTAGCTAGATACCTAAACCTATGAACCTATTATATAAATAACACAAATTTTACAAGGTATTAGTCATACCTATACACGATCTACGTATATTAATTTAAATTGTAAGTATATAAGTATTAGTGTTTTTACTCTATATAAACTAAAGTTTCAAAACTATACTAATATGCATAGTACAATGACATACCTATTGTATATAATATTATTAAGTTTAATATAATGTATATACGATTTATTATAACACACACCAATAAGAGGATGTCACACACTTTGCACATGTGTCGCCTCCGTCTTACAATAATATACAACATTAAATATACCAAATTTTGCTTTTAGCACTACCAACTAACTTTGTGTTGATAACTTGATTATTAAAGTAAATTGACTTAATATCAAACCTAAAGGTAAGACATTGTTTGTGTTTGGAAGTTAGTTTCGTTCAATATTTCTATAACTTATCGAGTTATGAATATATTAAAACTATGTTAATATTATCTTAACTGTACCTATATATAATTAAAAAATTGAAATATTATTTTTAACAAAACCAACTTAACTACCTACAAACACTGATAATGTTGTCACCTTTAAGTTTAATAATTATAGATCATTCACTCTAATATAAAATAACATAACAACACAAATGCAAATTTTCTTCGTTGTATATTTGTATAGGTTAGTAAGACGGCAAGCACATACGTTATACCTTATACCTATGTAATACGTGTGGATTTTGCTCTTAACTTAACCGAATGTGTATTATTTTTTTTTTTAATCATTGATTTTGACTTGAAATTACCCAAGGCTGGGTATTAACGCGTTAGTAAGTTAATTTTTTTTATGATTATTAACTTAACTATTAACTTTAGGAGCTTTTGAATTAACTTTTAATTAACTTGAGTTAATTTTATGTTTAAAAAAGTTAAGTTAATTTCAAATTCGTATAAAATACAAATACTTACCTATATTATGAAATTACGAATATTATCAATGCCCGTTATTTTTCGGCATCGTCGCCGTTATTTGATTCTTATCATTGTTTTTTTTTAATATTACCTACCTATACTGTGTCTACAAGGGAGATTTGGATTTTTAGCTAAATAAAAAATATTTTATTATATTTATAAAATTTAAATGTGTAGTTTAAAGTAAGGTTTATAATGTTATTTTATTATTATAAAATTGAAAATAATGAACAATTAATACTTAGGAATATTTGTAGAAAACAATAAATATAATTTCAAATGTGTATACATATTACAATGAATTTTTTTTATTTATTAAAAGTATACATTTTTTTTAAAATTATGTGAACTATTGTAGGAATTCAAATTGCTGGTACGCATTTTATAAGTTAAAAGTATGCAAAAAAAAATGTGTACAGTTACCTTTTGAAACACATAAAATAATAATAGTTCTATGGTCTAATAATATGAACATTTTTAGGTATCGATTATTTTGATTTTACCTATATGAAAACAAGAAACTTTTTTTTAACTAACTTAACTTGAGTTAAAAAGTTAATATTAAATGATGGTTAACTCTTAACTTAGTTCAATTAATGGACAATTTTGGATTAACTTTTAACTATTAACTTGATTTAGATTTTAATTTAACTTAACTTAACTGAGTTAAAAAATATCATTAACTTGCTCAGCCTTTCATATACCTATACCTAAAAATATGTTTATTCTACTGACTTTTAAGTATTAAACTATGTTTAACCAAAAAATGTAATTTTAATTTATAATTAACTTACCTAACTTACCTTTACAATCCCTTGGATAATAGTTCGATCAGTCGATCTCGTTTAATATAACACAGAATACCTGAAATTTGAAAAAGCCTTGTGTGTATAAAGCAACACGTACTTTACACAAATAAATTTTTGAAAGTATTATGAAACGGAATAAAATAAGTAAGTACCTAATACATTTTATATTATTTTTCATAAGTAGGTATCTTTCTATAGTAATATTATGAAATACTGGTATCGGAATATTAATTTTTATGTTTTATAATTTAAATTATAACTTTTATGTGGATGCAGGTATTGCATAATATACATTTATTTTTAATAAAATACAATCCAAACATTTATTTTAGTTTGTAATAGTATATGTTTAGGTGCTCATAGTTGATAACTATATTGATGTCACATATTTATTAAGTAAAAGTTGTTTTCCAACTAAACACTTAACACTACATAATATAACATAACATAATATACTAATACATTTTAAATATCAATTGGTTTAGGTTTGCTAAGAATCTATAATTATTCAATAAATAAAAGAATTCTACTTAAAACGTTGGTATCTTTAAACCATCAATAGCTGTCGGTTGTATTTACGTACGAGTATACAGTTAATTTATCGTTATTTATAAAATATATTATGTGCATTAAATTAAACAATTTGTGGGTGGTTTGTATAAAATATTTTGACTCGCATAAAATAAAATACCTCTTACTTCTTTGAATGATTTAACATACACATTTATACAATCATATAGGTACCAATTATTTACAAAAAATATTCATCAATAAGTAGTAAGTAATACATATAAAAGGTATTAATCGTTTTTTCAATTTCTAATTAATTTTTAAAATTTCCAAAGAAACTGAAACTGAAACTGAAATATTAAATTTTAATGAAATTACAAATTATTACGCTTTTCAATAAATCGTATACGTACCTAGTATATTTTATTAAAGTCAAGGTTCAATTTTGAAGACTGTTAAAAATACTTTATTTCAAATCTAGTCAATAATACATTATCACTATAGGTATGTACGAACATTTCAGTTTACATATTCAAATATAACATTACAAACTAAATATAGTATTAAAAATATAATAGTTTGTAGCATTAAACTAATTATTTTCTTAAATATATTGTCACAAAACATCTATTATTGTATCTAATATAGAGAGTATTTTACATAACACTAAACATTATAGGTAAAAATATTAAAATTACAAATTATAATTATTTAATAGATTATAATAATTAATAATAGGTGTATGTTTTTCTTAAGTGACTTTAAGTTATAATTTGAACCAAACTTTTGTATAGAAAGTAGTTTTCAAAAATATTAATTTGTATTTGAAAATATATATAGTATATTATGCAACTCATCAAGACAACAATTTTTTTCATGACTTAAACATTGATGTTAGACATAAAAATGATTATAGGTACACTAAAATTACAAATTATTAAAATTAAAGTACCTATTACCTATTGTATTAATTTTATAATGTACAAAAATTACATTTAACTAATACTACACTTACACAAATACAGGTATAAGAGGTTTTTAACTTGTAAAACACTATCACAATAAGTACATAAGCCCAAACATTGTCGAATTCTAAAATAACCTCATAAAGGTATTCAATATTTGTAGTTTAATATGTTAGCTATACAATCGTCCACAATATGACCAATCAGTGTAAAATATTCACGAAAATTGTAATATATGCAAAGTAAAATGTTCTTTGATTTTAATACCCAGTTAAATTGAATATATAACTTGGATAGTTAAATGATTATTAAATAATTAATTCAATTAAAAGAGGATACTGCAGTGTTAGTGTTATGTAAAAAATATTTTGTTTGGATATAGTATGTTATTTCTCGTATTAGAGATGGAAACGTTAAATGGAAAACATTATGACAAACAATTTTAGACAACCATTTAATGTGTTTCATGACTGTTGCTGGAGACTAAATTTAATATTGTCAACTTCTGCGGGATAAATATCTATTTTCGTATATGCGCGACGATCTGCAACATTAAAGAAAATAGTTGTCAGGGCAATTCTTGGAGTATTACATTAAGCTAATTTAAAAAATATATATTTAACTTAATATTTTTGAACTAATGGATTATATATGTTATTCAACTTAATTATACATGTTATTTACAAATAGTTTTAACATATACCTACTATAGGTACCTATAACCATTTCGTTTTATTTTAAAGTAAGAATGTAGAAAAAACTTTTACTAATTTTAATTTGAACATGATTTTGTCATAATATCTATTTTGAAGATATAATTTACTATTTAAAGTCAACAAAAACCAAAATAGATATTTTTAATCATCGTGCATCGCACAGAGCAAATAAATAATGTAATTCAAATTTTAAAACTGTGTTACTGTATAACTAGTACAATTCATAGAAGTTTGATTTTAATAATAGATGTTTTGATGTTTTGATGTTGTAACATCTTGTAATAAAAGGTAGGTATAAGTAGTATGATTGCATAAAATACCATCTTTTGATTACAATTTTAGTACTATGACTTAATGGTCTTCAATAATTATATATGTTCAAAATAAATACAACATTAAAAATCAGAGTTCCATTTTATATGCAATTTTACTGTGAAGTAAGAGACAATTTTTTTTTATTTATGCTGTAATAATATTTAAATACTACACTAAATCAATTCATAAAATGAAAATTGAAAAATGGGGATAAAATCATCGGAACATATATTTAATAACTAATACGACTAACTTTCTATACTTTAAAGTAGGTATTTATCATAAGCAAAAATATTTGATTTCTGAAAAATATTTTTAATTTTTCTTTAAATTATAATATGTTATTTTGTCCTTTAAAATACTTCAGATTCATATGCTTATTATTTAAAAAAACCACATGAATGCAGCTAGTTTAAAGACTAAAAAAAGTAATAATAAATCAGTTATAAATGGATATTACAATTTACAATTAAGAATGAACGAATGGTCTAAAAACAGAATGCATAGAAACCTTGCCGATTCTAATAAAAGGGTGTCTAAAATTCCACATTTAAGCCTATACCTCACCAATGAGCAAAGAGACATTGCACTTTATTAGAGCCAGCGTGGCCTTGTAAATTCCTCGTCAATCACTTACGTATACAGAGTGAGTAACGAGTATTTAAACTTATACTTATAAGGGAATAGATATTATTTTTATAATCAAACTAAACCAGCCATAAACCAATTTGATGTTGGAAATTCTTATTTAAACTACAGCATCAGTAGGTACTCAATTTTATCCGTCAGAATATATATTTTATAATTTATCAGTTGTCACTAAAACTAAAGCTAAACTGAATTGAACAAACAGGAATCTATACTCAGATATAATTAAAATTAATAGTGCAATCATATTTTGGAGCAAAGTAACTTTAATTATAAATTTAGAATTTAAAAACTACATAATAACAAAAAACTATAGTATCTGTAATATTCAGTCTCAATAAAATATGTTATACTAAAATTTGACAATGACTTAAAAAAAATCTCAACAATTTAGCGTGCCTCAGAAAGTATGAACAAGTTACTGCGCCGTCAATATGACATTATATCACAATTCACAATACATGTGCATTACGACATAAAGTAAATAGCCCTTATCAACGATGACGAGAGTCAACAAAGTATATAATGTAGGTCGCAATGGTCCTCTTCGATTCTAACAACGCGGAATACTTGTGATACTACGATAATAAATCTTCCGACATTTCGATAAATGAACATTGCGGGATTTACAAAAGACTTATAAAATAAGATAGTCCAAAAACGTATACGTACCTACTAAATAGTGTAATTTATTTTTACATTCCTTCTCGAATAAGGTATTATTTGTGTTTTTTTTTTTTTATTTACTCAGGTATTATTTTTTAAATTGTTATCAAATATTTGACTGTTGATGTCGATGTATGCTGCACGATAAATTATTACAAAGCTGTCAGAATTGTTTTGAGTTACGATCGTACCCAGTCACCACTAACCACTATATGGGTATGTATATATGGGGCTGTAATATTTTTTTGAGTTCTATAAACACGTGAAATTATAATATATATATGCATTTAAAAAGACACCCGAGGTGAGCGTTTGTGTGCAGCCTAAAAGCCGAAGATCCGGGCATATTGCAGAGTATACAGTATTTTCAATTCACACAAGAATCGGCGAACAGATTTTATACTCACATTAAAGTAAATATAGGTACAGATAAATCACCGTCGTTGTGACTGCGACGGTACTTGGACGGTTGCCGTGCGCCGCCGGATAGGTGTCGCAGTCAATTATATTATAATCAACATTTAATTGAACATTATTAATAGTGGATTCCGATAAAAATCATCGAAGGCGGCACTCTGCTAAATTGTCGTCGGTGCAGGGTGGAAGGGAGGATTAGTAAGTAGGACTGCGCGTCCAACCGGTGCACCTGGGCGGCCGCCAGATTATATCGTTCCGTGTAAACGCGTACATATTTGTTCGTAATTAATTCGATTCGTCTTCATATACCATCTCGTTATTATATCGTCTTAAATTATGATGAAGGACGACCTCATTATTTTCGCTAGTGCATTTTTGGGTTCTTTTTAAATATACAGCAGTTCAATCGCGGATTGAAAAAAAATATCTCGTGTTTTAATACTTTTTAATTCTCAGTTAATAATATTTAGACGTCTGAAACAAAGAATTTATCTGAAATTATCGTTATATATCGATAAAGTGTTCGATATGCTAATAATTAAAAGTTTTGTCAAGGGAAATATGTATGTCAAGAAGCAGAGCTGCGATATCATTGCTATAATAAATTCACAAAACAACTTAAGCTGTTGGTTGGATTTTTCATGTTTTTACAATCAAATATAAATATTGAAATCATCAGAAAAATAGGTAGAAAATGAAATAAAAATATGTATGTAGATGTCAGATGATCACTGATTAAAAGGGCAGAGGTAAATCTATATACGCATCATTAAAATAAATTTGCATTTTAACCACGAATGTAATGTCATAGGTAATGTTCAGTAAAGTACTCGGAATTACATTTGAAAACAAAATAATTAAATCCGTTTCAACAAAATCACAAAAATTGAAAATTGTAAAGGATAAAAACCAACGACACTGCATCAAAATTGTACCTTAAAAATTATATAGGTATAGTTATAATAATATGTGGGTTCTGTGACAGCACCAGCTGTTGTTGCTGCCGTACGGGTGCGATCGTCTAATTTTATTCGTTGATCAAATAATATTCTCCTTCTCTCTATCTCTTTCCTTAGCATTATTTGGTTCACTCTGTGTTGTCTAGCTGTAGAAAATGGTCGGAATGGCGACGATCGGAACGCGGTGCCAAAACGGTGCGCAGTTCGGGCGGTAACGGGTAGGTACAACGAAAAATAATATATTGCCAAGTACCTCCTAATATCCACATCATCGTCCATAATCATATTACTATTATTATTGCCTTAAAGCACCTCCTCGCGGGAGAAAACGATAACACGATCGGAATAAACATTAAACTTCCCTGGCTGCTGCAGCACCAGCGGCACTATTTGGTCGACAACTTTCACAAAACACGATGCCGGTTAGTAGAAAATATTTATGATAAATTTAAATCGTCAGTATCGTAAGCTCAGTAAAGTAATAAGAAATTACTATGATATATATATATATCAATTATTATACTTGGATGTTTATGCAAATTTCTTTGTAAATTAAATATCAACGAGGACGCATATTTACACAGCCATATTACTTAAAAAGACACTTTCGATAATAGTGTCGATTTACGAGTAGCTATTAAAAACATATAATTTAAATCATTATAACACAAATTTAATCTGGTGTGAAAAGTGTTTCGAGTGTGCCTATCGCCATTGAGAAGGTCGCTGTACATAATATAATGGTTGTGTTAAATATTTTGAATTCAATGATAAATCATTGCGTACGAACAATTATTCTAAAAGAAGACGGTTAGCCTCTATTTCTAAGGATATTTTAAAATTCGTTTATATTACTATTGATTGCGGTACGGTATGTTGAACATAATTTTTGCCAAAAACTTCAAATACATTATATTATCAAGTTAATAATAATTTGTTTTTTTATTTATTTAAAAAGTAACCCTAGGCATCATGGCCATTAGAAGTTTTTTTTTTTTGTTAAAATATATATAATACAATACAAACTAAAGATTATATATACAATAGTCAATGAATAAATGTAATAATAGAATATAATAAATAATATTAATAATAGAAAAAGTAAAGACGAATTTACAGCTTTGAGTTAAATAATTCGGCCAACCTAATTATATCTAGTAATGAGTTGGAGGTTGTACTACTGCAGCTGTATTAGGGTTGGAAATAAAAGATTGGACAATTTGGTAAGTCCGGATTTTGGTTCTGACTTTATTATAATATTATGTTAAATATAATTGATAATTGTACAACTGTGTACCAAACGGTGTGAATTGATTCATGGAATAAAATATAGCTTTAAATTAATCTATATATTATTTTGAATATCGTATTGGATATAGAAAATTATAATATGTATAATATATTAATATGTAATGACAAAAAATTTCAAGTTATGAAATTCTTCAAATAGGGTTTTTTAAATGCATTTTTTAATTTGGATATTTTGTTATATCCGTTAGTTATATTTTTACCCCCGATATCTCAGTCATTAGATATTTTATCCATAAATATGTATTGTGACCTAGATTTAAAAATGGCATTGTGTATATAGAAAATAAAAATTTAAGTAATATTTGAGTACACACAATTAATATTTGTTGTATTAGAACAAAATAACAAAATCATATGACGAGAAATCATTGTTTTAAGTGTGAACATCCAATTCTATCATAGCTTGTAAAACTAATATATTTATCACTCCACTCGGAATTTAAAACGATTCTTATCATTTTAAAAATGTTTGTCACATTGTAAGTATAATATTTTTTTATGAAATTTGTGAAAACTTTTTCATTATACCAACAAATTGTATGCATAATATATTCACATTTATGTAATATAAATACACATTAATCTAATATGGATAACCTAATATATATATACCTACACATTAATATAAATTGTAAAAAGATGATTAATAAAAAAAACTATTTTGAAATCGCTTTTCAGACCTATTACAGTTTACACTTTAATCAGTTTAATCAAATCACGAACCGCGGCCTCTCGAAGAGCCGCTCATCTCTCCGCCCCTCACTGTCATATACCGCCACAGCCCGTCCCTTCCTCCTCAATTACGAGGGCCGTAAAATGTATTTTCACAAAACATCCGCCGCACGAGTATTATGACGCATCCAGGTTTATATTTACGGTTGTGTTTATTCGACTGCAAGTGAGTTCCGAACCCGCGCACAGGAATTCGCTGCAAAAATAGCTGTCTAACTTTTGGGACAAAATAATATATCGTTCCGAAACCGGCCCGTAGTTGTTGTTGGCTGGTTAGGCTTTGATATGATATTATTGTATACACGTAATATATTATGTGCGTTATGATCCCCCCAGAATCGGCTCCGTGGTTAGGTTAGGTTATGAGCTTAGGACTATATAATATAGTTACCGCGAATACAGCGATTTTAAATATTATACAATTACTCGTAGAAAACAATTTCTGATGTACATGTGTACGATTTAAATAATAATTTAAAAATAATATCCATACGAACCAAAACTCCTCCAATCCTTATGGAATCGCTTTGCCCGTACCCCTGCAAATGTACCGGGACTTCCTCGATGTATACAAAATGCACACATATTTCAAATCTAACATAAATAAATATTAACCCGATATTACTAGGTGCCATAGTCATAACTAATTTTAAGACGTGTAATAAAATGTAACAGCAGTCGAAAGCCATATATAGAGCTACCAACCAATACGTTTCTTACTTAAATAAAATGCAATCACAAGAATATGTATTTTAAATTGTAAAAGATACAAATTATACCATATATGATTTGTAATATTATATAATCTATATCTTCGATCATAATATATGATTTTATACGTCGGTAATTGCAGGTAAAATTGTATTAATTATAGTGTATATATTATCAATATTTATGCAATATTATGGAAAAAACGTAACTAAATAAAAAAACCTAATTTCAAGATGATTTCAGTAGCGCCTGAGTTTTCTTCTTTCGTTTGTAGTTTTTAAATGTACACAAAAGCAATATAAACACATCAAATTTGTAATAATATTTATAACCTAAATATAATGACGTATAAGACATTTAGGCATGTGATCTACCACGGTATAACTAATACATATTGTGACCACTGATCAATTTCAGTGAAAATGTAACACATCTTTTGTATTCTAGGTCAATCGATCAATACATGGTAAACACGGTACCCCGCAATTGCCAGAGCAATCTTAAATTTTCAAATAACTTTTTCAAAACATAACGTTGAAATTGGTTGAACTAAACTCCAATACTCAAATAGACTGACTTTCATCAAGTTGGATCCACAAAACATAGGTAAGCCTATATATTGCAAATTGTCTACGTTGAATTTTTTTCCACAGAATGTTTATTCGAAACAGTCAATATTTATAAAATATGTATTATTTAACCTTCTTGTAGGGTATAATATGATATAGGTAGGTAATAAAGTAATAAACATTAAATAACAAATTTATAATCTTATAAAAGTAATTAAAGACTGAACATTTTAGTTTCGAACAGCCATACAAAGTGTTATAGTATGACAGTTACAATACAATATACTATAACTAATTATCGTTTTTACCTGCCAATGAGCAAAAATCAACTGAAAAGATATAGGACGGATATATACGCTGCAGGTAAAACTGTAAATGGTATATCGTCAGTAAGATCTCTAGTCGGTCCATTGAGTACGTACATACGAATAGTGTGTACGAGTTATAGCTTTTAATATTGTGTAAAATCGAGTCTTGTGACCTTGTGTAAGATATTGTCGGGGTATATTTTAGAATGAAAATAGCTGCAGCGACCTCGAATGCTACTCCTTGTACCACGTTTAACGTGAATATTGTTAAACGTCATTAAAACGTCAGAAGTCAATAACTACATACTTTGAAACTTATCAAAAAACACTTGCATACAATAATTATTCCGTACTTGGTGCTGCTTATTATTGGCATAACTACGAATGCACGTATAGTATGGTTTTAGCCCTCCTCCCAATATACATTTGGAATTTGCTCCTTTATAGAACGTAAACCAAGTCCCAACAAAATAAAACTGCCGTACATTCGATGTGTATTATATAAATTATGTATGTATAATATATACATTGTATGCTGTATAGTTTATATCATTATTAATGTTTCAGATGTCCAACATATGGTTTTGGTTTTTCTAGTTTGCTCGGAAACAATCGAGAAAACAATAATCGTAGCGTCACATGAAAATACGATATTTATGATTGCCGATTGATTGGTTCTTTTTCTCGTTTGTGAAAAATGAAAGCGTAGGTACATACAATCGACCAATCAGAAAATAGATGCAGTGATCTAGCCTACTAAACAGAAAGATAATAAAAATAATGAAGGAGTCAAATCGTCGATTATGATATATTTTTCAATAATTTGTTTCTAATTATATAGGCATAAACAATAAATTATTAAATATTAAATGTGCTTACTGAAGAGCAAAAATACATACTTATTTTATTGATTTGAGAATTGCTTTTTATAGCCTTTTGACTATGGTTTATTCAAATTTTGATTTTCTAGACCCTGTAACTACGATATTAAATCCTAGTTACGTCCACTCTACTTATTATAGAATGACGGTAGTTCATTGTTTCAGTAAAATATAATATTTAAAAAACTGGATATTGTGTATTTCAATGTTGAATGTTTAAAAATCTAAATGTGTACCTATTATACTAATTATATCATAATCGTAAATATGTAGGTACCTACTCACATATTGTGTACTCGTGCGTATCATTAAGTAATTTAAATTTAATTAAACGCGTCGCGAACGCTTAATTTAATGTTGCAAATGAGATGTAGAAAAATAATAAAAGTTTATAATTTGTATTCAAATTAAAATCCATAGACCTATGCAATAATTGATTAAACTGCATAAGCGTCAGCTGCACTCGCCGTTGTAGACCAATCGCGGTAAAACCACAAGCGCAGTATTCACTATCGTTATATTTTGTTAACAATCGTCTTACCTATTTATTTTGTAGCACCCCAATAAATAATGATTTAAAACTCTTTGAACAGTATTATAATACGCCTATAATAATACTATGGCCTGTGCAAAAATAATAATCGTAATGGAGCGATTTTTCGACTGCCAGCAAAATCATAATATAAATTTAAAAATAGTGTACTTCATTTAGGCACCGGTGTCGTTTTGTACAGTATACGAGTACCTGTAGCGCTCTTTGTCGGCATGTCATTAATTGTGTAAGGCGGAAAATTGTCCGAGCAGTGCGTGATGTATAGCTATATGCCTATATAATAACACTGCGGCAGCTGTATTACAATATTATATTTTACACACGGTCATGATGAAATAAAAATAATTATATTATGTATGTGCCCGAATTAATTCGATCCCATTAATTAATTTCGTTTCAAATATTATCGTCGTCAGCCCTAAACAAACTTTTAGTAAAAAAAAAAATAAATATATTTTAATGACATACAGCATATTATACAGAGTGATTCGCCCAACCAGCCCATCCCCATTATTTACTTTAATGAGGAAATTATTCGAATTGCGATTTTTGGAATTTTTAAATACACGACTCGAAGACCATTTATTTAAATTATTTTTTTTGTAGGTACTGCGCTTAAGAAGTGCAGTAATGCGGCGACACAGACTTCTGTTTTTCAATTGTGAACCTCCCTTTTCGTTTATAAATTATTTACCGGACAACTTATTTTTAAATGTTGACATATTAGAAACGAAATTCGAACGAGTAATTTTTGGGTACTTAAAATTTGTGTACTAATGAAATGACGAGTCCACGATGATGGTTTTAAAAAATATGGTGACTATATGGAGTACATTCTACATATATAATGGTGATTTAAACATTTAGGTGACGAATCCATCAACACAAATGATTTGTAGAAATGCTCCAAATATAATAAATACTAGATCCAATATTACATATGTTTTACCTACATGTTTTTAAGCCACTTTTAAGGATGTTATATCCTTAGAGTACACATTTTAATAACTAAGAAACCACTTGTTTGAACTTTGAATTAGGTACATCGACATTTGCAAAAAAATTATCCACTTAATAATTTACAGTAAAAATGCAGGTTAGGGGGGGGGGTCCTTGTTTGAAAAATAGAAGTTTGTATCTACCTAAGACACTCCTTAAGTAGTATAAAAAAAAGTCAAGAATTTAAAACATTGGTCTTTGAGTATATTTCAAAATTCGAAAAATCAGAGTTTGAATTATTTCATTATTAAAGGAAAAATGGGGGGGGGGAGTGAGGATGCTCGGCGAATCACTCTGTATATAATGTTTATGCATTACATTAATTAAATTATGAATATGTTAGCAAATAATTAATGACAATATTAATTTAATTGAAACACTGTATAGGTATATTTCTAAATTCTAATTATTAATTTTTCAGTTTCAGTTGAACTTTTATATTTTGTTTTAATTCCTACATAAATATGATATATTTACCAAAATTACTTAATATAAAATAAATTCGACAGCTATAAAATTCAATATTCCGCATGAATTGCGAAAAAGGAAAAATGTTTAGCATAAAATGTCGATGATCGACCAATATACCTACTATTGTTTGTATTTTAGTAGGTAATTTTTTATTTTAATTTCTCATCCATTTGGTGTTGAGTATAATTTAGTTAAAAATCTCATTATTTAGCTCTACTCACATAGTCACATGTAGTAAAAATATCTTAACTTATATGACTAATACTGTTTGAGAGACGATACATAAAGTACTTAATATTAAGTTGAAGTACCTTCGATGAAATTAATTTACGAAAGCGTATTGGATTGCGATAAACTTGTTAAAGATAAGGTCGTAATTGTTTTACTCTCAAATTTACAATCCACCTGGTACTGTGACTAACTGCGAATGAAATAAAAGATATAATCAAAAAACAAATCAAGACGAATCGCCACGAAAAGAAAAAAACTTACTGCAGAGACCAATATAAAATATTTAGAGTTAAAATTACATCGTAAATCATAAAATAATATGTAACTATGTGGTGATTACGATGGATTTACTGTATATTCTGATAATCGGTGAATTATTTTTATATTTAAATATTTAATCAACAACTGTTTAGAGTAAATATATAATTATTAACAAGGTAGTTTATCATAAGAATTTCAAAATGAACAGAAAATTTTGCAAAATCAACCAACTGTCGAAGAATTCTTAATATTTTAATTTCGTTTTAATTAGGTTTAACAAACACGCAGACGTGATCATAAACTTAAGTGTAAAAAAAATTACGCGAACGTGCGAGAAATAAAAAGTATAGAAAGCTTTTTTAATTCGAAATCATTTCACAATTACTTCAAAAGGTACTTGGAAATTATCACAGCTATTTTTTTGTTTTCGTAGAAGATGAGTATACATCTGCCCACCTCTTACAACAAAAACCTTTATATATGAATACAGCTGATAAATTTTGCCCGAGAAATAAAATAATGCTGGGTGTAAAATAAGAAGGTTTCTCGTCCCGCTGGGAATATAATAATATATAAGAAAAACCTTTGCAATATGAATTTTAATACACGTTTCAAAGTATTGTGTATTATTGATCACTTTGATGATCTACCTGTCTTTAAGAAAATATAGAAACATTTGGGTACCACGTTCGGTGTATATGGTTCGATGAATCGAATAGGGTTCCGACATACATGCATTATCGGGACTATATAATTGCGACGATAATACTGAAACTAAAAAAATGTTGTGCCAGACACATCGCATAAATACCAGTGACGCAATCTGTGCAGGGATGATTTTAGTTGAAGACTGTAACAAGTCTATTTTAACTTTCCCAGTAATATTTTTTTTTTAAATTCAAGTCATAAGTACGTTTTTGAGAAATCCAGTACATTGTACAATAGTAACCTGATGAGTGATAACGAATGACGATTGTACATTCGTACAGCTGTTATATTATGTCTCCATCATGTGTCATACATCAATAATTGTAATATACTTTGACCAATGTCCATGGGCCACGGCTGTAGGATTTCGTATGGTACTACTAAAACTAGCAGAACTAATGGCAAGGAGATAAGACTAAATCTGATGACGAATTGTAATTTTGTTTCCAAGACCAAAGGCCAATGCTATAAATGTAAAAGTTGATTGTCATAAAATACATATATATATATATATATATATGGGAGTGAGCGTGTTTGGTAAATCGCCCTGGGCAAAACTGATGAGGTATCCAAACAAGAAACCAGTGGTATAAACAGGAATTTTCATTGGGGGGAGGGGAAGAGATGTATGCATTATGTCTAAGATGAATCACATGGTAGTGCCCCTCACACTAATATTATATTTAAAAAAGGTCAATGACTCGTGGGGGAGGGGGATCCCGGTGAGTTTTCCAATTCGAATTATTGTCGTTAATTTATTTTAAATATCTATTTTAATTAATTGTTCTACTAGTAGGTTAGTAGTTTAGTTTCAGTATTAAAAAATGTCAAAAGAAATATAACAATCATTATTATAATTTATACACTTTACACAGCTTTCAGTCGACTTTAATGCGTTTTTCTTGTACAAAATTAAAATGCTGAATTTATTCCATTACTATTTATTTTATTCGTGGCACATTAAATTATTATTATTCATTATATAGGCAGTATATATAGTATATACATTATACTTTGTTGGGTTAGGTTTATTTTCCGTAAAAGGGCGTTATACCAAACGGACACCCTATACATAATATTACTCGAGACATTTCAAATTCTAGAAATATCCCCTTAAAGCGCAAACAAAGAAACGACAAAACCCCAACGACACTATAACATATGTGGATTATATTATGACTGATACAAAATTGCTCGTAACTGCTTTCGAAGTAGTGCATTGAAAAATGCCTTGCATTTTTTTTTCTAAAATCAACGATACCGACTCAATAGTTAATAAACAACAATATTGTAATTTATTTGTGCACAGAGAACTGATCTATATATAAGTCTATATATTAAATCAAAGATTGAATATTATTGTATATAACACGGCGTGTTATATAGGCAAATCGGTAGCATAGTGTACCTATGACTCTAACTGAGGAATCCGATCTTATAGTATCCGAATCTGGTTGGACTCCATCATAGTGTGTGTCTTCAATACGTTATTCCTAACTCTAATTTAGGAAACGTTATTTTATACTAGTGTAGCAAGCATATTTTATTTTAATTGATTTAGTTCAATTTACTATAAAATAAATAATAATACGTTAAAACACACAATAACAAGTATACCATCGAACTGTAATTATAGTTCTAAGCTTAAAAAAAAATAATGTAAATATAATAACAAAAATAAATGTTAATGATAATTGATTACATTAATTAATAAAATATTATATGAATAATAAATTCCTTCTCACTAAATAATTTTTAATTTTTCCTTATAATCTATTTATTGTACTAAATGTATTATGGTAAATTTGGCAAAAGCCCATGTATGTCGTATTATAAATAAAATAAAATAAAATAAAAATTGATGTCTAAATACAGTAAATATATGAATAATTAAACTTATTATTTGAGATTTTAATAATATAATGAACAATAAATAATTGATGCATTTGATAGTCAAATCAACAACTA